TGATGGGAAGTAAGGAACCATACTTGTCGAGCATTGACGGACGAAGAGAAACCGTGGCTATCATGAATCGATGGAAATAGAGGAACCATACTTTTCGAGCATTGACGGACGAAGAGTAACAGTGGCTATCATAAATCGATGGAAAGAGAGGAACCATACTTGTCGAGCATTGACGACGAAGAGAAACCGTGGCTACCATAAATAGATGGAAAGAGAGGAACCATACTTGTGGAGCATTGGTGGACGAAGAGATACCGTGGCTATCATGCATCGATGGAAAGAGAGGAACCATACTTGTCGAGCATTGACGGGCAAGAAGTAACAGTGGCTATCATGAATCGCTCGAAAGAGAGGAATCACAGTTGTCGAGCATTGACGGGCAAGAAGTAACAGTGGCTACCATAAATCGATTGAAAGAGAGGTACCATACTTGTGGAGCATTGGTGGACGAAGAGAAACAGTGGCTATCATGAATCGATGGAAATAGAGGAACCATACTTGTCGAGCATTGACGGGCAAGAAGTAACAGTGGCTACCATTAATCGATGGAAAGAGAGGAACCATAGTTGTCGAGCATTGACGGACGAAGAGTAACAGTGGCTATCATGCATCGATGGAAAGAGAGGAACCATAGTTGTCGAGCATTGACGGGCAAGAAGTAACAGTGGCTATCATGAATCGCTCGAAAGAGAGGAACCATAGTTGTCGAGCATTGATGGACGAAGAGTAACAGTGGCTATCATGCATCGATGGAAAGAGAGGAACCATAGTTGTCGAGCATTGACGGGCAAGAAGTAACAGTGGCTACCATTAATCGATGGAAAGAGAGGAATCATAGTTGTCGAGCATTGACGGCCAAGAAGTAACTGTGGCTATCATGAATCGCTCGAAAGAGAGGAATCATAGTTGTCGAGCATTGACGGACGAAGAGAAACCTTGGCTACTATTAATTGATGGAAAAAAAGGAACCATACTTGTCGATCATTGACGGACGAAGAGAAACAGTGGCTATCATGAATCGATGGAAATAGAGGAACCATACTTGTCGAGCATTGACGGGCAAGAAGTAACAGTGGCTACCATAAATAGATGGAAAGAGAGGAACCATAGTTGTCGAGCATTGACGGGCAAGAAGTAACAGTGGCTATCATGAATCGCTCGAAAGAGAGGAATTATAGTTGTCGAGCATTGATGGACGAAGAGAAACCTTGGCTACTATTAATTGATGGAAAAAAAGGAACCATACTTGTCGATCATTGACGGACGAAGAGAAACCGTGGCTATCATGAATCGATGGAAATAGAGGAACCATACTTGTCGAGCATTGACGGGCAAGAAGTAACAGTGGCTACCATAAATAGATGGAAAGAGAGGAACCATACTTGTCGAGCATTGGTGGTCGAAGAGAAACAGTGGCTATCATGAATCGATGGAAAGAGAGGAACCATAGTTGTCGAGCATTGACGGGCAAGAAGTAACAGTGGCTATCATGAATCGCTCGAAAGAGAGGAATCATAGTTGTCGGGCATTGACTGGCACGAACTAAAAGTAGCTACCATAAATAGATGGAAAGAGAGGAACCATACTTGTGGAGCATTGGTGGACGAAGAGAAACCGTGGCTATCATGAATCGATGGAAAGAGAGGAACCATACTTGTCGAACATTGACGGGCAAGAAGTAACAGTGGCTATCATGAATCGCTCGAAAGAGAGGAATCATAGTTGTCGGGCATTGACTGGCACGAACTAAAAGTAGCTACCATAAATAGATGGAAAGAGAGGAACCATACTTGTGGAGCATTGGTGGACGAAGAGAAACCGTGGCTATCATGAATCGATGGAAAGAGAGGAACCATACTTGTCGAACATTGACGGGCAAGAAGTAACAGTGGCTATCATGAATCGCTCGAAAGAGAGGAATCACAGTTGTCGAGCATTGACGGACGAAGAGAAACCGTGGCTACCATTAATCGATGGAAAGAGAAGAACCATACTTGTCGAGCATTGACGGACGAAGAGTAACAGTGGCTACTATTAATTGATAGAAGTAAAGGAACCATACTTGTCGAGCATTGACGGGCAAGAAGTAACAGTGGCTATCATGAATCGCTCGAAAGAGAGGAATCATGGTTGTCGAGCATTGACGGACGAAGAGAAACCGTGGCAAACATTAATTGATTGAAAGAGAAGAACCATAGTTGTCGAGCATTGACGGACGAAGAGTAACAGTGGTTGTCATAAATCGATTGAAAGAGAGGAACCATACTTGTCGAGCATACACGGACGAAGAGAAACCGTGGCTACCATAAATCGATGGAAAGAGAGGAACCATACTTGTCGAGCATTGACGGACGAAGAGAAACCGTTGCTACCATTAATTGATGGGAAGAGAGGAACCATACTTGTCGAGCATTGACGGACGAAGAGAAACCGTTGCTACCATTAATTGATGGGAAGAGAGGAACCATACTTGTCGAGCATTGACGGACGAAGAGAAACCGTTGCTACCATTAATTGATGGGAAGAGAGGAACCATACTTGTCGAGCATTGACGGGCAAGAAGTAACAGTGGCTACCATTAATTGATGGGAAGAGAGGAACCATACTTGTCGAGCATTGATGGACGAAGAGAAACCGTTGCTACCATTAATTGATGGGAAGAGAGGAACCATACTTGTCGAGCATTGACGGGCAAGAAGTAACAGTGGCTACCATTAATTGATGGGAAGAGAGGAACCATACTTGTCGAGCATTGATGGACGAACAGTAACAGTGGCTATCATAAATCGATGGAAAGAGAGGAACCATACTTGTCGAGCATTGACGAGAAAGAAGTAACAGTGGATACCATTAATCGATGGAAAGAGAGGAACCATAGTTGTAGAGCATTGACGGACGAAGAGTAACAGTGGCTATCATAAATCGATGGAAAGAGAGGAACCATACTTGTCGAGCATTGACGACGAAGAGAAACCGTGGCTATAATAAATCGATGGAAAGAGAGGAACCATACTTGTGGAGCATTGATGGACGAAGAGTAACAGTGGCTATCATAAATCGATGGAAAGAGAGGAACCATATTTGTCGAGCATTGACGGGCAAGAAGTAACAGTGGCTACCATAAATCGATCGAAAGTGAGGAACCATAGTTGTCGATCATTGACGGACGAAGGGTAAAAGTGGCTATCATGAATCGATTGAAAGAGATGAACCATACTTGTCGAGCATACACGGACGAAGAGAAACCGTGGCTACCATAAATCGATGGAAAGAGAGGAACCATACTTGTCGAGCATTGACGGGCAAGAAGTAACAGTGGCTACCATAAATCGATGGAAAGAGAGGAACCATACTTGTCGAGCATTGACGGACGAAGAGAAACCGTGGCTACCATTAATCGATGGAAAGAGAGGAACCATAGTTGTCGAGCATTGACGGGCAAGAAGTAACAGTGGCTACCATTAATCGTCAGATGTCAGAGCGTACACAAGAAATATAGGGCTGACGTCACCGTATCCTCACATTCGTTCAACGTTCATAATCAGTCACTACTAGGGATATGAAAGGCTATATAGGGAGTTAAGACAGGATTTTTCAGCACATTTCTATGATACACTCAATTGATACAAATAATATAATATACTGAGGGGCAGGAGTTTTGTATGTAATTGGATATTAAAAGAACTGTTGTTAAACCTGATTATGTCTACGGCATTCTGTGATTATCTGTCAAATTATTTCAGTACCTATTCGACGTATCTTTAATATTATTTAATGTCGCAATGATGACTGGACGTCCAGTGCCAATACTTTGGAAATCCCTCCCGACGCGTAATTGTATCGACCAGTTTGGCGTCGTCGTGTCAATTTATAACAACGCACTGTCACTGTTCCTGACTTGCAAACTATTCTCCAATGTTCAACATCAGACTTCCCTGTTTCTGAAGTTAACACATCACCATAGCATCTAAAAATAATTCCTCACCTCTGCTTACATTAAAACGTACTACATTCCTGACAAGTAATCATTGTTCAAATACAAGGCCATGAGCTTCTACTGAACCTGACCAGAAACAAAGGAATACAGTTACAACCCTTGTTTAACATTAAAATACACATACAGTAGTGTACACAATGGAAGTTTGGCAAAATAAATCCTACAAAACACCAGATAGTGACATAACATAGGAATTGATTTCCGCTTGAGAGTCCATACAATACAGTGAACGTCAATTCTTAAATGATATAACGACTCAATACAACATAAAACCGCTAAACCACGTATGTAACGATGAACTAAACGGAGGGTGCTGTATTGCGTTTAGCAGGACATGGATATGTTTTGTTGTTGTAAATTCACACTTTCCTTTCTTACCCATGAAGCGGCCATAAACACAACTAACTCTTCGGGTAAAGGGCGACACAGATGTACCCACGTCAGGCATAGAATCGAAGGTTCTCAGTGTGACGAGTGAGAGGTGTGAGGCAGATTAAATGAGTAGTGTTTGATTACAGACAATCTGATTTACCTCTCAGTGAATAGTGAGTGAGAATGTTGGGTTTAACGCCACTTTGAACAGTATTCCAGTTATATCACGGCGTGTCAGTTTAATGTGGGAGGAAAGTCCCGAAGGCATGCCGATCTCAGACGTTTACCACTTTGGGGAAATCCACGGGCATGAGTATGGTGCTGAGAAACCTAGAAACATCAGGTCGGACATGGATTCGAACCCACGATCATAGGTTTCTGGCGTCCCCAAGGGACTCAACTATGCACAGCTAATTGCAGCGCCTTAGACGACAGGGCCACCCGTGCCCCCAGAACATAATAATAAGCTCACAGAAACAATCCCTATGCCTCGCACATGAATGGTTGAGTACTTGAGTAACTACGCCAGCTATATGAAAGGAATATCAATTTACAAGAGAAGGGACAAGATGGCTTGCAATCCGTCACGTGGCTCACTGTAACCATCAGTACCTATGACCAGTGCTTACGATAGGGATGAATCCTGACAGGCTCACAAGGGAAATGTGAGCAAACCTGGTTATCGCTTTTAACACATTTCATTGTAATTCTGATATCAACTCAGCATCGGACGTGGACGTTCTTCCTCACACTCCGGCAATTCCACACAGCCGTGACCTTTCGTTACCAGCAGAGTCGTTTAAACCTGGTAATTGGACGTAAAATTGGGACACACTGTCGAGGTTTCCGCTTTAGACGTTGTCACATTGCTATGGTCGGGGCAGAGGTGAGGTAAGAATGTTTACCAATTGCAGTATGGTATTTGTAAACAATGATCATTTTCAGTGTATACGGAATTTCCACACCGAAGCTGCAAGATATGGTTTTATAACATCCGATCTGTATGTGTAGATTCATCCTTCGTATAACAGGTTATGTGTTGATTAAAGAAATGCAAGTTCATCAACTCTGAACATAAAATGTGACATTGGTGCTCTCTGAAAATACTTGTAAATGATGCTATTTGTAGAACATTATCGAGGTCAACAAACTGAATTAGACACATAACTCTAGTATATATATGTATAGTGTATGCTATTTTCTTGACTAGACATTTCAAACATTTCAACGTTTGACAACTATAGTACTAAGAATCTCTGACACGCCAAATTGATGATTTATGATAGGTCCATGTGTATATGAATTAGTTGTGTTGATGTCATTACCATAGGCTTTGTGCTATGTATCAACAAGGATGATAATGTTATGGTATATTTCAGTATCCTAGGTCTTATCACAATTGTAGTGGTATATGTATCAACTATGATAATTATGTATATGCAACTGGTACAGTATTCTTTAGTATCCTGTGCCGTATGACAATAAGAATAGTATATATCAACTATGATAATTATGTATATACAAGTAGTATAATATATTTTAGTATCAAAGGCCGTATTACAATTGTAGTGGTATGTATCGACCATGATACTTATGTATATACAAGAGGAATAGTATATTTAAGTATCCTAATCCTTATCACAATTAAAGTGGTTAGTGTCAACTGTAGTAATTATGTTTATATAAGTCGGATAGTATAGTTTAGTATCAAAAACCTTATCACAATAAAGTGATATGTATCAACTATGATAATGATGCGTATGCTGGTAGTACAGTATATTTAAGTATCAAAGTCCTTATCACAATAAAGTGGTATGTATCAACTATGATAATGATGCGTATGCTGGTAGTACAGTATATTTAAGTATCAAAGACCTTATCACAATAAAGTGGTATGTATCAACTATGATTATGATGCGTATGCTGGTAGTACAGTATATTTAAGTATCAAAGTCCTTATCACAATAAAGTGGTATGTATCAACTATGATAATGATGCGTATGCTGGTAGTACAGTATATTTAAGTATCAAAGTCCTTGTCACAATCAGAGTGGCATGTATTAACTATGATCTATGCAGTGGTAGTTCCCTAACCGTGGCATACCAACCCATATATCAGCGCACGTGGTATGTCATCTATTTATCACATTTCTTGTAATGAGAGATATTAAATGATGACCGCGTGCAATAAGCATTAAAGCAGTGTAACCCAGCGTACTAAGTTATTTACATAGTTGTATATCAGGAGGCACATTTAAATAAAAATGTTCAGCGAGGTAAAAAAATCATATTCACAGCACATATCGCATTTAATGAAAAGATTCGTCTTTAAACAGGATACAATAAAATTCTTCACTATTGAAACCACTTATTTGGTGGTTTATTCTACATGTATATATAGGGGCGGTCGGGTAGCCTAGTGGTTAAAGCGTTCGCTCGTCACGCCGAAGACCCGGGTTCGATTCCCGACATGGGTACAATGTGTGAAGCCCATTTCTGGTGTCCCCCGCCGTGATATTGCTGGAATATTGCTAAAAGCGGCGTAAAACCATACTCACTCACTCACTCACATGTATATATAGTGAAACGTTTCCTCGTATACAGGTTATTTTAACTGCAATTTAGTTAAGATAGAGTTGGTTTATTAAAAATATAAGTAAATCCTCGTTATTACATCATGTTAATGTAAAGTTTATGAAATCAACTGAACGTTATGTTGATAAGGCTCTTCAAAATCAACCTCCCCAACATCCTCAACTGGATTAGCACAGGAGGGTACTGTACGGGTTTCCAATGACACAAGTACATAAATAAGTGCATTAATGATATGAACTACATTCAATACAAAATATATGACAGGCGGTTTGGGTAGCCTAGTTGTTTAAGCTTTGGCTCGTCACACCGAAAATTTGGGTTCGATTCCCTACATGGGTACGATGTGTGAAGCCCATTTTCCAGTGTTCCCCGTCGTGATATTGCTGGTATATTGCTAAAAGCAGCGTAAAACTATACCCACTCACTCGTCAGTATCCAGACACTTTTATTGACATTACTTGGAAGCTGGTCCATCTTTATCATAGTCTCCACATGCCACGTGAATGTAGTTCGAGATTTTGTCCATGAACGTTATTTAACACTAGACAAGTGAGATTTAAATGAATTCTCTGAACAAAACCCCATGACATATTAGAGTAGATAAACAAACTTTCTTTTTAATGTAGAGCTCTGTCACCTGAAGATTTGACCTCGCAAGATTGAATCTAGAACGATCTTACTGGTGAGTGAGTGTGAATGTTTTCTTCGCCGCTTTAAGCAATATTCCAGCAATACCCCGGCTGGGGGCACCATTACGGGCTTCGCGCAACGTACCCCATTCTATCACGAAGTCTTCGTGGCTTCATATCGTCTTTTCTGCCCACTATGTATTGCCAAATGTTGTAACTATTGCTCTGCATTTGAAACCCATAACTGTACACGCCCGCCGACAATGGTTAGAGAAGTACTTAAAAGGTTATTTCAACATGTCGTTATTGTGTCAACACATTCAAGGGGTAGGTGAGTTAAACTGTAACGTCACATCGACAATAACTCGCCATATAGCGGACAGCACAGGTTCAGTGTTGGATGCCACAGTTTAGACTGGTTCGTGTGTTTCAACATATTCTAGTCAGGTTCACTCTTTTTCAACACATTTCAGACAGGTTCACTGTTTTTCAACACCTCTTAGGCAGGTTCGATATTTTGCTTCATATTCTAGAAACATTAAGGTTCAACTTTTTCCTTCACGGTTTAGTCAGGTTCATTGTTTTACTGTCAGTAGCTAGTCACAATCACTGTTTTACTATACTGTCCGGTCATGTTCGGTGTTTTACTACACGGTCGTTTCATGTTCACTGTTTTACTACACGGTTTAGTCAGGTTCAATGTTTTACTACACGGTTTAGTCAGGTTCACTGTTTTACTACACGGTTTAGTCAGTTTCACTGTTTTACTACACGGTTTAGTCAGGTTCACTGTTTTACTACACGACTTAGTGAGGTTCACTGTTTTACTACACGGTTTAGTCAGTTTCACTGTTTTACTACACGGTTTAGTCAGGTTCACTGTTTTACTACACGGTTTAGTCAGGTTCACTATTTTACTACACGGTTTTGTCAGTTTCACTGTTTTACTACACGGCTTAGTCAGGTTCAATGTTTTACTACACGGTTTAGTCAGGTTCACTGTTTTACTACACGGTTTAGTCAGGTTCAATGTTTTACTACACGGTTTAGTCAGTTTCACTGTTTTACTACACGGTCGTTTCATGTTCGGTGTTTTACTACACGGTTTAGTCAGTTTCACTGTTTTACTACACGGTTTAGTCAGGTTCAATGTTTTACTACACGGTTTAGTCAGCTTTACTGTTTTACTACACGGTTTAGTCAGTTTCACTGTTTTACTACACGGTTTAGTCAGGTTCAATGTTTTACTACACTGTTTTGTCAGTTTCACTATTTTACTACACGGCTTAGTCAGGTTCAATGTTTTACTACACGGTTTAGTCAGGTTCACTGTTTTACTACACGGCTTAGTCAGGTTCAATGTTTTACTTCACGGTTTAGTCAGTTTCACTGTTTTACTACACGGTTTAGTCAGTTTCACTGTTTTACTACACGGTTTAGTCAGGTTCAATGTTTTACTACACTGTTTAGTCAGGTTCACTATTTTACTACACGGTTTAGTCAGTTTCACTGTTTTACTACACGGTTTAGTCAGGTTCAATGTTTTACTACACGGTTTAGTCAGTTTCACTGTTTTACTACACGGTCGTTTCATGTTCGGTGTTTTACTACACGGTTTAGTCAGTTTCACTGTTTTACTACACGGTTTAGTCAGGTTCACTGTTTTACTACACGGCTTAGTCAGGTTCAATGTTTTACTTCACGGTTTAGTCAGGTTCACTGTTTTACTACACGGTTTAGTCAGTTTCACTGTTTTACTACACGGTTTAGTCAGGTTCAATGTTTTACTACACTGTTTAGTCAGGTTCACTATTTTACTACACGGTTTAGTCAGTTTCACTGTTTTACTACACGGTTTAGTCAGGTTCAATGTTTTACTACACGGTTTGGTCAGTTTCACTGTTTTACTACACGGTCGTTTCATGTTCGGTGTTTTACTACACGGTTTAGTCAGTTTCACTGTTTTACTACACGGTTTAGTCAGGTTCACTATTTTACTACACGGTTTAGTCAGTTTCACTGTTTTACTACACGGTTTAGTCAGTTTCACTATTTTACTACACGGTTTAGTCAGGTTCAATGTTTTACTACACGGTTCAGTCAGATTCACTGTTTTACTACACGGTTTAGTCAGGTTCACTGTTTTACTACACGGCTTAGTGAGGTTCACTGTTTTACTAAACGGTTTAGTCAGATTCACTGTTTTACTACAGAGTCTATTTAGCTTTACTGTTTTACTATACGGTCTTGTCAGGCTCACCGTTTCATTACACAGTCTCAATCAAATTAGTTAAATATGTTTTTTTCCAAATGGAATGTACTTATTCAAATCATCAACCGTTAATATGCAGATAAAAATAGGTAGTTCATATCTTGGATTTCAAACCAGTGAAAGCTATCGTGACATTCATGCCAGAAATATGCGGCCTAATTGCCCCATTCTGCCCTCACATTGTGCTTTGCAGTAAGGAAATGGTAACGGAAGCCAGGGAAAGTGTGTTTGTTTGCTAAAAACATGTGTGAGGAAGTGAGCGGGGTCAACGCTCACACTGTATATATTAGCCTCTGGTAGCAAGGGAGGAGGGCGAGGGTGAAGTATATATCAGTCACAAGAACATGCTATTTTTGTGTTGTTTTCCCTCCAGGAAATGGACGACGTAATGCAATTCCAGGGCGTCACATGAGGTAAGAAAAAATATTTAAATTTGAAAAATCCAACACCAAAGTTTGTTTGACTCGAGATTGCTTCACACAGTTGATCTTGATTGACTTTAAATGTATTTAACGAGAAACACCAAGCCTGTGAACGTGTCAAGTGCTCTTGTGATTAATTGCTGTAATACGATTGGGGCCATTGTTGACATATGTGTACATTGACCCTTGTGTTTCTCTGAATTGTAATTAGGGAGTATGTATTGCAATGGAAGTTTATCTACTACCTGGAGGGCAGGAAACTCAGGGCTCAGCTTTTTGCTATCATCACTATTTGAAAGTGAATCTTAAAAACATGCTTTATGATATTGTCGGAATATTTTAGTAGATAATTCTCAATGACCGTGGAAGTGTTTTGTCGTTTTGATTTACACAAATTACAATTACAGTATATACTTATGAATAACAATACAAAATACACGCCACATGCACAATATGAACATATCAACAAATTACAATAATAGTTTACATTTATTACAAACACGTTTCATTCAAATACCAACATGTCACATAGAATGTACGATCACGAAACATACAAAATACTAGTGGTGCACATATTTCATATGAATTATGCCATGAATATCTACCAACTTGAGGCACTGGATGGACTGGGTTCGAATGTAAAAACCCACGCAAAAACCATGTGAACAGCACGCGCTTCGCGCTGCTTACAATAACCTTCAATATTGATGACGTGTTACATAGAAATACAGACACCTACATGTTACATACGAAATACAGACATCCCGAAATGTTACATGCAAAATACAGACACCTACATGTTACATACGAAATACAGACATCCCGAAATGTTAAATGCAAAATACAGACACGGATATGTTACATACGAAATATAGAAATCCCGAAATGTTACATGCCAAATACTGACACGGATATGTTACATGCAAAATACAGACACGGATATGTAACATACAAAATACAGACACCGACGTGTTACATACAAAATACAGACACCGACATGTCACATACGGCATACAGACATCCGGATATGTTACATACGAAATGTAGACACCGACATGTTACATACAAAATACAGACACCGACATGTTACATACAAAATACAGACACCGACATGTAACATACGGAATACAGACATCCGGATATGTTACATACGAAATATAGATACCGACATGTTACATACAAAATACAGACACCGACATGTTACATACAAAATACAAATATCCCGATATGTTACATACAAAATACAGACTTCCTGACATGTTACAAACAAATACAGACATCCCAATGTGCTACAGACAAAATACAGATACCGACATCTTAAATACAAAATACAGACATCCCAATATGTTACATACAAAATGCAGACACCGACATGTAACAAACAAAACAGAGACACGGATACGTTACACATAAAATGCAGACATGATGCAGATAGAGTTTAGATGTTGCTTGGCATAATGCTAACCCAACCCAATCGAAATGACGACATACATGTACATGTAATATATGTATTTGATGAATTTGTCAGTACAAATCCTTTGCATTTTTGCATTTTGTTCAGAATATGTTCAGTGCAACCTTTAAAGTGTTTTTGACAACATTGCATCATTTTCCAACCTGAATTCCAAGTGACATGAACCTCTTGCACACAGGAAGCGCGAGGTCTAGCCAGAGGAAACACCTCTGACCAAAACAGTTAGAAGATGATTCCGATTTTCCAGTCGTGAATTTACCCTTCATCTAGAGCAATATACCATCAGCAATAGCATATGGCGTCTAAATTTCTCATTTGCCTAGGTACTTCAGAACATGTGCATTTATTCAAATTCCATTGAAAGACACACCTTGATTAAGGCCTGGTTAAGTCATCCCAGACATTTTACGTTGACATTCAGAGGAATGTACTATACATGACGCGTCGCTAGGTAAGCATGATGCGATGACCTACCCCCCCCCCCCCATTATGACCAAATCGGGGAGTTATCACACCTCTTATCACTTACTTTAATGGATCGGATGGTGATGATCAGGCTTGGTGTATGGCGATGCATCATTGCTCATGATTATGATCACTGTAACGACTGTCCCAGGCTCGATCGTTCAGTATCCTCCTATATTAGTGTCATCATTCAAAGGTAATGTCATTATCACTGTTACTGTCGAAATCCTATGTCAGTGTCATCCTCCTTTGTTAGTATCATCACCCTCTTTTAGTGTCATCTTTCTGTTAGTGTCATCTTCCTATGTTAGTGTGATCCTCTTGTTAGTATTATTCTCCGGTTAGTGTCATCTTCCTATGTAAGTGTTTTCCCCCTCTTGTTAGTGTTAGCCTCCTGTGTTAGTGTCATCATCCTATTTTAGTGTCATCATCCTATATTATTGTCATCTTCCTATGTTAGTGTCATCCTCCTGTCAGTGTCATCTCCCGGTGCTAGTGTCATCATCCTATGTTAGTGTCATCCTCCTGTCAGTGGCATCTTCCTGACTGTGTTAGTGTCATCCTCCTGATAGTGTAATCCTCCTGTTAGTGTAATCCTCCTATGTTAGTGTCATCCTCCTGTTAGTGTCTTCTTCCTGTGTTAGTGTCATCCTCCTGATAGTGTCTTCTTCCTGTGTTAGTGTCATCCTCCTGATAGTGTCATCCTCCTATGTTAGTGTCATCCTCCTGTCAGTGTCATCTTCCTATGTTTGTGTCATCCTCCTGTCAGTGTCATCTTCCTGTGCTAGTGTCATCATCCTATGTTAGTGTCATCCTCCTGTTAGTGTCATCTTCCTATGTTAGTATTATCCCCCTCTTGTTAGTGTTATCCTCATGTGTTAGTGTCATCATCCTATTTTAGTGTCATCATCCTATATTATTGTCATCTTCCTATATTAGTGTCACCCCATGTTAGTGTCATCTTTCTGTGCTAGTGTCATCCTCCTGTTAGTGTCATCCTCTTGTTAGTGTCATCATCCTATGTTAGTTTGATCATCCTATATTGGTGTCATCCTCCTGTAAGTGTCATCTTCCTATGTTAGTGTCATCCTCCTTTGTAAGTGTTATCCCCCTCTTGTTAGTGTTAGCCTCCTGTGTTAGTGTCATCATCCTATTTTAGTGTCATAATCCTATATTATTGTCATCTTCCTATATAAGTGTCATCCTCCTATGTTAGTGTCATCCTCCTATGTTAGTGTCATCCTCCTATGTTAGTGTTATCCTCTTCCTGTTAGTGTCATCCTCCTTTGTTAGTGTCATCATGTTATATTAGTGCCAAACTCCCATGTTAGTACCGAAAGGTGTCTTGTGCGTGTCTGAATATTTTTACTTCCTGTGAATAAACGCGCCTAAATATGTTTTTATTTTTATTAGGTAAGATCGACAGCTCGGATTTCAGCAGCACTATGTATAATAAGTATAACCTCAATTATGTACCCGATTTATATATGACCAGTTTTGTGTGGCACATGCACAGTTCTAGTAAACACATGTACAGTTTTAGTTAATACTTGCACAGTTCTAGTAAACACATGTACAGTTTTAGTTAATACTTGCACAGTTCTAGTTAACACATGTACAGTTACACATCTGCGCTAAGTTAGTTAACATGTGCTCGGTTTAAGTTAAATATAAGCGACGACCAATTTCCATAATGCTACATTCCGACTATATCATGAGTATGTGTTTCTGAATCACTATCCAATAGTGGTGATACCAGGTGTTCGCCGAAAGGTGGGCGTATCCTGCCACTCCGGTGGCACCCGTCACAAACACATGCACAGACAAGTCAGTTGTTCAGCTGAAAACATAACGTTTGTCACTGTCCTCCACGTGTCTAGCAAAAGAAGTTTTGAAAGCTTTACTTTGCTGAGCAAGAATCGTATAACGCTCTTTGAAATATTCGCAGAGCATGCTCGATTGTATCTTTAAAAGTCCTCACTCTTGTCAAACAATCTTGTCTTTTGTTACTCTGAATCTTTATACATAGCTCTAAATATGAAACACATAAGATGGTTTCACTTTATTTCTAGTTAACGTGAGTAAATAATCGACTTGGCTATGTCGGGTTATCCATATATCTGAAGTTTAAGTTAAACGTCTTTATAACTCCCTTGTTTTAAGTTTGCCAATCCGAGCAGCACTCATGTTAACTCATGTTACTCATGTGAACTCATGAACAGCTATAGTTAACTCATGAAAAGCTATAGTTAACTCATGAAGAGCTATAGTTAGTTCATGAAGAGCTATACTTAATTCATGAAGAGCTATACTTAATTCATGAACACATATAGTAAATTCATGACCAGCTATAGTTAACTCATGAACAGTCTTAGTTTACACATGCACAGGTTTAGTTAAAATATCAGCAAAATGTTATTTACATATTATGATTTTTATGCATAGTTCTCATCAACTTTTATCAAAAAGCTTCCCTCTACGACAGGCTCTATTACTTATATCGTAATAAGCAGGTAAATGTGTACTCGATGGCGTTAGGTGAAGAACCACGTAAGGTACTTCTCGACACCGGTAAGCAAAGCCTCATGTACGGCTGATAGTTGATATCAGTTGAACATTTCAAACGTTCCCTCGACCACTAGTCTGTCTTACAGACCCTGGTACAAATTTATATCAAATACAGCCCATGCAAGTCTATAATGTTTGGCAAGTCTAGATTACTGCAGTATCTGAAAATGAAGAGAGTCACTGGGCTTCCTTTTATTATATTTTTTATTAAGATAACTGAACAACTGTTCATTTCAGAGACTAGATGTTAGTCTACTCGACCACCACAGTTTTAGATTTTACGAGCTACTCCCACAATTACCAAGTTGTACTCGCATCAACCATCATCTTCAGGTACACATCAATCTTGATATATACCTCTCCATAGACACGCCTACGTTGATATAAAACTCTCCATAGACACACCTATCTTAATATATACCTCTCCATACACACCTACTTTGATATATACCTCTCCATACATACACCTACCTTGATATCTACCTCTCCATACACACACCTACCTTGATACCTACCCATCGAAATATACACCTACTTTGATATATACCTCCCCAAATACACACCTACCTTGATATATACCTCTCCATACACACACCTACCTTGATGTATATCTCTCCAAAGACACACCTACCTTGATATATACCTCTCCATAGACAAACCTACCTTGATATATAGCTCTCCAAAGACACACCTACCTTGATAAATACCTCTCCATACACACACCTACCTTGATATCTACCCATCAAAATACACACCTACCTTGATATATACCTCTCCATACTCACAACTACCTTGATATATACCTCTCCATAGACACACCTACCTTGATAAATACCTCTCCATACACACACCTACCTTGATATCTACCCATCAAAATACACACCTACCTTAATATATACCTCTTCATATAAACACCTGCCTTGATATATACCTCTCCATAACTCATACTTACCTTGATATATACCTCTCCATATACACACCTACCTTGTCATCTATCTCTCTCTATATCTTTTACTATTAGAATTGGTATATATGTAAACAAGTTCACACTTTGTTGCAGAGTTGCTACGTGATGCCGTAAGATGAACACCAGCAACATCAGCAAGTTGGCGTACTACAGAGACCAATGGGAGAGTCGACAACGGCTACAAACACGTATCTTCAGGGCAACTGTAGCTGTAGGTGTCCTGGACGCTGTGTGGGTCGTGTTCGTCAACCTCCTTCTGATATGCGTCCTCCTGTCCTCAAGAAGGCTCCGGGGTGTGTTCAGAAACCAACTCATCGTCAACATAGCTGTGTCAGACCTGATGATCGGAGTCATATGTATCCCTCTCAAGGTGGACTTTGCTTTAAACCGCAAAAGGAACTATGGCTGCACGATGCATGTGGCTTATCAAATCATTGAAATATATTTACAGATTTTTGTAGCAAGCTGGTGCATTGTCATGGTCAACTTTGACTTCATATTAGAGAGGCTTCAAATAGCCCGCCCCCGACTGTCTCGAAGCTGCAGAACTCTGTTGTCAGTGCAACTGTTGGCGTTGCCATGGGCAATTGCCTGCATTGTGATCATGCCCATAATATTTGTCAGCCTACACCCGATATGGTCCGTCAGCTCGTGGAGTGAGCGATATTGTCCAATACTTCTGGTCAAATGGGCGACAGTGACATTATCTGTCTTATGCTTCTTCCTGCCTGGAATTATCATTCTGTTCCAGGTGGGGGCAATCTTAGCTATCTTTTACAAGAAAAGGCCAGCAGGCGTGGCAAGTCTTGGTCTGCTGACATATTCCGACTCTGCTCGTGACACTGCTGTTATTACCAGTGCCAGCTTGGTGACAGTCTTAATGTTATGTGGGGAGGAAATATGGTTCGTCATGGCGGACTACATGGGATCCTCGTGGACGTACCATACCATGGTCCTATCCGGCTTTATCTTTGGCGTATGCGCAGACATAAAATCTGCAGTGCTTCCGATTGTCTGGATGGCGCTACCGGAAATATGGGAAACTATCAAATCCAATCTAAGATGGAGGCCATGGCGGCAGTACGTACAACATCATGACGTCGAGGTGACGTATTACAGAAATTATGGAGACGATCTGAGCCCGTGACCCGCGCATCATGACTTCAAAGAAATGAAGTAATAAACCCATGTAGACGACAGTCCGTGACAGGTCCAACATGGAGACGTACTACAGGTTCTGTAAATATGATCTGGATGCGTTTCACGTGCATCGTGACGTCATGGTGACGTATTTCAAAAACTATGGAAACGGTCTGAGCCAGTGACATGTTCATCCTCATATGGTGAGGAACTACAAGATGGTTCGAGTCAACTAATTATGTACCGTAACGTCATTCAGGCGTATTACCGAACCTTGGGGAACGGCCGTAGAGGATAAACATGCAGTTAATGTATCTGTTATATATGATTACTCGTAATCCTACAGCTAGGTATATCTGCAACGGATATATCCATGACTGTCACTTTGTATGTGTATATCTAAGGGAGACAACTGCAAGTGGGCATATTGGTATAAAGAGAGATACACACTCTTAAATATTGCATATTGCACGTATTTTGTCACGAACAATAAACTAGTTACCCCTTGAGTTGGCGTTGTAATGTATGATGCGAGAGCTGTTCAAAGAGTTACAAGACCTACAGGAGATACCCTCTACTGCAACACAGTATGAGTCATCCCCATTATCTATCGATGGATTCGTGAAGATCCGGGGTAGAATAGGCCTTCAGAACCCATGCTTGCCATAAAAGGGGACTATGCTTGTCGTAAGAGGCGACTAACGGGATCGGGTTGTCAGGCTCGCTGACTTGATTGATGTCATTGATCCCAATTGCGTGGATCGATGCTCATGATATCAATCAATGGATCGTCTGGTCCAGACCGCCGTCATATAGCTGGAATATTGCTGACTGCTTCGTTAACAACAAACAAACAAATAATCAAACAAAACATTATATACTGAACCACAAAAGAAACGTCACCCAAAGTAACATGGCATGAAAAATTGTCATTTTTAATATCTGGGTATTTGTGTCAAGGTTTCTTAAATTTAACATTACCTTGTCCGGAAACTGCTCACAGACCATGGGGGCACACCAGCGACACATTAGTACGGACACCGTGCGTCGACGATTGACGAGCAGACACCTCCACTGTCACACCGAGGACCCATTCTCACACCACGTCATCGCCGGGACCGTCTTCAGTGGGCAACACAGCACCAGCATTGGCGCCACCAGCAGTCGAGAAGAGTCTTCTTCTCAGACGAGAACCGTTACTGTATCTCAACAGCAGATAGCAGAGAGAGAGTCTTGAGACGCCGTGGGGAACGTTATTCGGATGCTTGTGTTGTTGAGAGAGACTCGTGGGGTGGAATTGGTCTTGCACAGAGGGTCGATTGTCCTTCACAGAAACAGCCCATAGCTCGATATGTATCCTTTTGATTGTCCTTCCGAAACAGTCAACAGTAGCTGAATGTGTATCTCTTTGATTGTCCTTCACAGAAACAGTCCATAGAAGCTGGATGTGTATCGCTTTGATTGTCCTTCACAGAAACAGTCCATAGTAGCTGGATGTGTATTTAACAGAAACAGTCCATAGTAACTGGACGTGTATCTCTTTGGTCGCCCTTCACAGAAACAGTCCACACATGCAGTAACTGGATGTGTATTCCTTTGATTGTCCTTCATGTAAATAGTCCATAGTAACTCGATGTGGATCTCTGTGGGTCCTGTCCATGCAGGAGTTTAAAACTTTTGGGTCTCCACCCAACAGATACTGCCAGAGTGAGTGAGTATGGTTTTACGCCGCTTTAAGCAATATTCCAGCAATATCCCTGCGGGGGACACCAGAAATGGACTTCCCACATTGTAGCCATGTCGGGAATCGAACCCGGGTCTTCAGCGTGACGAGCGAACGCTTTAATAACAAGGCTACCCGACCGCCACAGATACTGTCAGAATGCTAAGCAGGATTTAGAGAAGATTACTCTACGATTGATCACATATTTACTTTATATTCACTGACTCATAAATATATTAAAAAGAAGCGTGGAAAATATTATTGTATATTTACTGTATTCAAAAAGCATTTGACATCGTGGATCGAAATAAACTTCTTTATACGTTGCTCAGTAAAGGTATACATGGTAAGGTAAGTACACTAATAAGAAGTATATATGGAAACGTAAATGCAGCTGTAAGATGTAGTAAAAATACTATGACTGATATATTCAATACCAGTGCAGGTGTTAGACAGGGATGTATACTATCATGTCGAATTTTATTTACAAAATCGATTATGTAAAGTACTCTCAAGGCAACCAGATAAAGCAATGTATTCAGCCAAGCAGTTTATTAGTATATTTAGAAATATACCTGGTGAATCTTTGTTTAGGAGATTTGATGGTAAAATAAAGCCAATACTGATGTATGGCTCGGAACTTTGGGGAACCATACTAAATTTTATAAATGTGTTCTTGGCGTCGGCTACCGGTCACCAAAAAAGGCAATTTTAAGGCACCAGATATATGTAAACTATCAATGCAGAGTTATCTCATACTGGATACGTTTGCTCAGACAACCAGATACACGATACTCTAGACGATGTTATAACATGCTTAAGTGCCTTGATGACTCTGGGTATATGAACTGGGCCTCGGGTGTTAGGGAAATTCTGTATCCCTTCTGCAATGAGTACCAAGAATATGAATACCGTGTGTTATTAATATGTCCAGTATTTGAAGATATAAGAATCAAATACCCGCCTAACTATTATTACACGTATCCAACAAAACGAAAAGTTGTAATGAATAGCAAAAATAGCCACATCCTTCTCAGTTTTTGTTAATAAGATATTTAAAAGAAGGATGATACACTGAATAGTAATAAAACTCAAACGTGTACATCTATTCAGTTACAATATACAAGTAGTGCTCCACGAAAACTTTCCTACAACTAAATTGTCATTGTACTATTGGCCTCATGTCCACATATACGAAATAAATCTGTCTGTCTGTCTTATTGGTGTGCCGCTTTGGCATCTAGGCCGCATACCCTCTCAATTGATTTTAAGGGTATGCATCGCTCCACCTAATTACCGTATTTTCTTTCATAGACACACGCGTGGTGGAGTTTTTCGGAGACCTGGTGTTTATTTGAGAACTATCGTTTTTGGTATAACTGACCTTTATTGGAGATATTTTAGGGACTAGTCGTCATATGGTTTCTGAATGAGGGTAATTCCTGTACAGTAATGCTATCCCGGCGTTTGTTTCGTCTAAGTTGGTTTGAACCAAGTCTTTATTATGGGTCAGGTGTATTTGTGACGAAATGTGGTAGGTACATATTATAGCTCTATCGTTTTATGAAGATGGGCATTAACTTTCCGCGATACACGGATATTTAACGCCGTCTTGGTTAAATAACTGTTTTACGTTTTCTGGTTTTCAAGTTTATGTTTCGTGTCTGGTTTCTGTAACATGTACACGTGTGTCTCAGAAACAAAATCTGATCGTGGTCACGGGTGATAGTGAGTGGCCATGAGTGAGTGAGTGTGGTATTACGTCGCTTTTCTTATTATTCTAGCAATATAATGACACGGGACATCGGTGAGTGAGTGTAAATAGTTTTACACTGCTTTTAGCAATATTCCTTGTAAGAATATCACGGCTCGAGAAGCTAGAATTGGCTTACACCAGTGCATCATGTGGGGAATCGAATTACTTACTTCGGCACGACGAGCGTTCTCTTTAACCAACAGGCAACACATCCTCCACTTACCATTATGTAATCATGTTAATAATTATATACTATGTCAGTGAAGTAGTTAAATCTCTCAAATCTCCGAAAATTAGGTTAAAACTCTTTTCAGATACGCCCATCTTGTTGGTGAATATAACACCCTTCCTTGATTAAGGCCTGGTTCTTAGAATAAGTATGTCGCATTAAGAGTCGTATATTGTGTCCATATGTAAGTCGTACAAATTCAATTAGTGTGAGGTAATACAGGGCTGAAACTCGAGTTGAGGTATCATATGTCAAAATAACTGATAAACAGAGATGTACATGTGTGAACGACGACACGATTACTGCGAGGAAACCAATGTACACGATATGAGGTCTGTCTCGTCTTGTAACTTCTAACACGGTTGGAACGCCACCGTGGTCTGGTCGTAGAGGGTCCGTGCGGAGAGCGGAAGGTTGGGCTTCGATCCCCGGTCGCATTAAATCAAAATACGTTAAAAGATTGTACTTGTTACCCTGTCTGGATAGCTAGCGGCATTAAGGGGCTAAAACAAGGACTGGTCGGCTCGGAGTTAGTATACTGTGTCTGAGTATGCATGTTTAATGTGGGCATGGTATCTCAGCACACACACACACACACACACACACACACACACACACACACACACACACACACACACACACACACACACACACACACACACACACACACACACACACACACACACACACACACACACACACACACACTACACATATTCTGAAACGCCTATTTTTATGAACGGTTTATGTACATGACACTTATGACACTTATAAGGAAAGCTATAGCATTAGATTGAGATCTGTATGCCCAAGAGTATTATATTCATGCGAGTGAAACTGACTTTACTGAAAAAAATAATCCTGGGTTTGTTTGTCGAGATCTTAGCCTCCTGTCTTGGAGTTTTTTTCTGGTAAGGTAATAACCTAATATACAGATAAATGTTTGCTCAAAATAAACTCGTTGCTGCATCAGATTCAATCTAAAAATTGAACCTAAAATCGTATATGAAATAACATGTAATACTTGGTATTTTACGAATATTAGTGATGTCTTCGTGACAGATGAAGTGTGTTCTGGTGCTCAGTTCTGTCGATGTGTTTTCTTTCAGAAACACGTTCAGTATGATGGCATTGACTCTTCATGAAACAGTTCCTGGTCATCATCTACAGGTGCGTCGTTGACATGATCACAAAGTGTAAACACGTTCTCAGAGATGGTATACCCAGCTACATGTTGTAACGTAATTGCTGCCACCTAATCAGTGAATACTTTCTACTCCCCATCGTTTCAGTCCGTGTACGCACTCACTGCCAGCCTGCCAGACTTCCAGAGAAATATTGAATATGAGAAATATTTTGCCGTTCCTTATCACTTTCCGTTTTACACGGCGTACACTGAGGTGAGTAGCTGGGTGTGGTCTACATCCAAGCAAGTATGATCAAACTTAATATTACACTGTGTTGAACTGCAAACTCAGAGTTTATTATGTATATCAGTCTAACAGTTCATGACTACGAAGCGTACATCCAAAATACCCCACTCTCTCTCTCTCTCTCTCTCTCTCTCTCTCTCTCTCTCTCTCTCACACACACACACACACACTACACACACACACTACACACACACACTACACACACACACACACTACACACACACTACACTACACACACACTACACACACACACTACACACACAACACACACACTACACACACACACTACACACACCACACACACACACACTACACACACACACTACACACACCACACTACACACACACACTACACACACACACACACTACACACACTACACACACCACACACACACACACACACACACACACACACACACACACACACACACACACACACACACACACACACACACACAGAGACACACACACACACACACACACACACCATCAACCGGAACAGATTCCATTTTGCGCAAATTGAAAAACAGACGTGAAAATTATGTGAATGGCCCGCTGAAAATCAGTGATGACACCAGGTGTTCGCGAAAAGGGTAAGCATGTCCAACACTTCCGGTAGCACCCGCAATTCAAGTGAACCATGGAACAGAAAATCCAGTGACACGATAGTGCCTTTACATTTACTAATTCATTCAGACGCTTCAATTCGCTGTGCAGAGTTGCGTCCCTTTGACACGCCAGAAACCTATGATGGTGGATTCGATTCACAGATTCGCCCTGATGATGTGTCTAGATTTGTTCTCGAGGGTTTCACCAAAGTGGTAAACGTCTTTCCTCCCACATCAAGCTGACACACCGTGATATAATTGAAAACTGCTCTAAGGGGCCTAAACACAACTCACCCCCTCACTCACCCATGTGCCCATTTGGTCAGATGTATATGAATAGTTTAAACACGACCGCGTCAAATGTATCGCGAGGCATACATGTATAGTATTACATCTGCCAAGACATAGACGTCTGACAGTGATAACACTGAGGATACCTGAGAACAAGCCCCTTGAAAGTCAAACTGGAATCTTATCACTACAGGTGTTTGGTTTCTAAACAGAAACGAGTCGTGCGCATGAGTTGTACGTCGCAATCAGCTGTTAATTGAAGGGATCTTTCATAGGAGGTCTACAAGAGGTAGAGGTGAGGCGTTTTTTCTTATTTTTAGTTTGCGTCCGTTGGTAAATCCTGTGTGTTTCGCCAATAGCTGAATGATAACATAATGATCTGTTAACAAGGATCCTGCTGGATCATTTTACTGAGATGCTTTCGCTTTTATCTGGACTCCCGATGCAGCCAGGGCTGTATGTTTACTGAATTTAGTTAACATAGACAGAGTCATTCCAGGTTAATATTTGGTTCGTTTGTACTTGGTTAACTATATGCGTAATTCCATTTGGAAAAAAACATAACCTCGAATCGTCCCGTTCCAGTTTAGTATATTTTCTATTGTCGGGCATGTTCAAAACTTATAGAAGGAATAGTTCATAATTAGCTATGACACTCCTGCACCATGACTATCTATCTATCTATCTATCTTATCTATCTATCTTATCTATCTATCTATCTATCTATCTATCTATCTATCTATCTATCTATCTATCTATCTATCTATCTGTCTATCTTAAAGGTAGTAGTTGGTCAAATTTAAAGAATGTGTCACTGAAAATACACCTATGTTAGTAATAGTGTTTTACCTTCTAATGTCCACTCTTGCACATCGGACCGCCTCCGTGGTCTAGTGGTAGGGCGTCCGCCCGGAGAGCTGAAGGTTCGGGTTCGATCCACGGCTGCGTCATACCAAAAGACGTTACAAGATGGTACTTGTTGTTACCCTGTCTGGCGCTCGGCATTAGGGGGCTAAAACAAGGACTGGTTGGCTCGGAGTCTGTATACTGTGTCTGAGTGGGATATTCATGTTAAACTGCGGCATGGTTTCTCTGTGAGCTAGCACTAAAAATCGGCATCAGTCCGGACTAGTACAGGCAGCCACACCCACACGTGCATTCGCGTCGCTATATAAGTGCAATAATCTTGGACGCGACGTTAACCCAATTTCACATCACATACTCTTGTACATCCCTGAGTCGTTCAAGGCGGCCGGATGTTGCTATTTTCTGTAACGACAGGTTCAAGAAAATTAAGTTTGGCACAGCAACGTGTCTATGTTTGTATCCTTTTTTATGTATATTTAAGCCCGTTACTCGACCTAATAGCTGTTGGTTAAAATATACATGTGCTCACCAATTCTTGGAGATGCACATCAAATTTAATTTAACTCAAATGTATTTATTTTCAAATAACTTTGAATTATGAAATAGATACAAATATAAATGCATGTTCAATACAGAGACAGAATCAAGCATTGTCACAAACCTCAGAAAGAGATGTTGTTCCCAGATCTTCAAATGTAATATATTTCTAGTAGAAGAGAACATATTAAAGTATATTTATATAAGAAATCCAACCAATGTCGTTGGTCATGTGGGGCATAGGAAATAATGACCCAAATTTACGACAGATGTTGACAACACCTTGTTTTGTAAACAGATTTTAGGCATTTTTGTATTACAAGCAATGATGCTGTACTCGGTGAATTGGGAAGGTACCTATATCTATAGTATGTTATGAAATTATATCCTACTGGATAAAATTGTTGTCTATGCTATGACGTAGGTACCTCAGAATTTGTTGTAATATGTTGCTTTCACTTGATGATCCCGGAAGGCAAACATGGATCGGATTTGTTAGAAATAGTTTGTTTGAACATGGGTATGGATTCATTGGTTTAAATCAGGGTGTTGGAAGGCCGCAACTATTTTTAGTTTCTTTTTCATATAGATTGAAAAATGTATCACGTCAAAATTGGCTTTGTAATCTCCATGGACAATTAAAATTAAGAGTTTATGAACACTTCAAATATGTGGTACAATAAGAACAGTATCTAGTAAATATTAAAAGTCAGCTATTTAACAAAATTTTATGCTTATGTAAGTTCCGTTTTGGAGGGAAGGCGCCGCGATTAGCTGTGCAGATTTGTATTCCTTGTGAACGCCAGAAACCTATGAATGTGAGTTCGAATTCTGGTTCGCACCGATTATGTTTCTAGGTTTGCCAGCACCATACCCGTGCTCGTGGGTTTCTGAGACCTGCATCGCTTCGGACTTTCCTCCCACATTAAGCTGACACGTCGTGATATAACTGGATTACTGTTAAAAGCGGCGTTAAATCCAACTCACTCACTCACTCCCTTTTGGAAATCATAATTTTCGTATTTAGTCTGGACGATGGGAAAATAATTTTTTACGAAAAATGATCATGTTTATATTGTAAACTTTGTTTGTTTAAAGAAAGTTACCGAAGGTGAAAGACGTTTTCTGTTGATCTGTCCTTTGTATGATAATTTGATGAGTCTGAGGTGAGTGAGTGAGTGAGTGAGTGAGTGAGTGAGTGAGTGAGTGAGTGAGTGAGTGAGTGAGTGGGTGAGTGAGTGAGTGAGTGAGTGAGTGGGTGAGTGAGTGAGTGAGTACGTATTGTTTTACGCCACTTTTGGCAATATTCCTGCAAATTTCACGGCGGAGGACACCTGAAATGGGCATGACATTTGTGACATTCAACATGCATGGAAACTAGGTGCTTACACACTTCATGGCCTCAGTGTGACAAAACACGATGATATGTCTTAATACCATTTGTTGATATATATTGAAAGCAATGTATTGAATGTACAAAGGCCTTTCATTAATTTAAGGTTTACGAATTGTTTGTGAATTGTTTGTGAAATGTTAGTGAAATATGGGCCGGACACAACATTTTAAAGAATACCACCCAGCATATTAGTTTTCGACTTAAGAAAGTATCATTTAATTTGATATGATTGATTTAAATTGTTCTTTCAGGGTCAGAGAGAAAATGAACTTCACAACAAATGCTACTAAAAACGCCAATAAGGCTTTCTGGCCAGGATTTTATACTTACATCGCTAACATTCGTTATGTATTCGCGGTCATGGAAATTCTTCTTACACCCATCATCGTGTCCGCCAATATACTTTTGATTGTCTCAATCCTGAGCAATAAAACACTCAGACGGGAATTTCGCTACCTCGTGATGATAAGTATTGCTTTAGCTGACCTTCTCATAGGACTCATCTCGTGCCCATTCCGAGCTGACATGGTCTTAAAGTCGACATACCAACATGGGTGCTTGTTCTACCTGTTCATGACAGTGACGGAGTCATATGTCCAGATCTTTGTTGGAATGTGGGGTATTGTTACCATTAATTTAGATTACCTGCTAACATTATTTCATGTCAAACGACCACAGCTGAAGACGTTCCCAAGGAATTTTGTTATTGCAGTGATTCTCGGTTTGCCATGGTTAGCGATGTTCTTCGTTGTGTTACCAATAGCATATTTACATGCTAAGGAATACTTTGCACCTTTCCGCTATTGTCGTCTCATTATTCCATATGATGCCCGACAGATCGTGATGTCTCTCACGTTTATCGCCCCTGCGATTATTACCGTCGTCCAAGTGACCATCATGACATCAGTACACCTCTATCGACAAAGGACCGGAAGTGGCATGCCTTCTTTGATGACTTCACCGGAAGCGGTTCCGTTGCCATGGACATATGTTGCTGGAAGCTTGGTTACTGTCATTATGGTTGGTTTTGAACAATGCATCAACATGGCGCAGAGGGCGTTTATCCAGGCTTTAATGCCCCAGTATAAAATAATATTTTTCATGAAACACAGCAGTCATTTCCTGTCGGATTCAAAATCAGGAGTGACGCCGATTGTTTGGTTTACTATTCCCGAATTAAGAGCGGCATTCATAGAGCTTGTGAACAAATTGCCATGGAGACGAAGACTCAGGCGTTCCGACGATGCTAAAGAACAAACGGTTCGTTACAGAAATTTGTGCGAAGATACATCAATGCCTTAAGTTCGTCTGCTGGTGTGTGTTTCTGTTCACTGCGCAACTTGAACTGTTGTGAAGACAATTTGCTACAACTATCAACAAACAGTCCAATGACAAACTGCAGAATGGCCTATGAGATCATTCAATGATGAACACGTTTCTTTACGTTACAATACTGTATCACATTATCACTGGAGTGAAGCCCCACGTTATAAATTGAGTGAAATACGTAAATGTTCAGAAACCTTTTAGAGAAAGTTTTTTCTTAGTTTTTTCTTGAAATTTCAAGATACTAAGTTGAAATATCATCTTAGTTTTTTCTTGAAATTTCAAGATACTAACTTGACATTTCAAATTATAATCTTAAGATTTTATGTTATTATCTTGAAATTTCAACTGAGTATCTTGAATTTGAAACATAACGTCTTGAAATTTCAAGATAAATAAAACAAACAACAACAAATGGCCATAAAGCCTAAGGAAGCCCCTTAGGGCCATTTGTTATTTTCTTTTTTTTCTTGAAATTTCAAGATAGTAATTTGAATTTTCAAGATTGTAGCTTGAAATTTCAAGATACCAAGTTGAAATTTCAAGATGTTTTGTTGAATTTTCAAGATACATACTAAGTTGAAATTTCAAGATAATGATTTTGAAATTTCAAGATAATAAGTTATTATCTTGATTTTTTAATATCATTATCTCGAAATTTTAACTTATGTTTCTTGAAATTTAAACTTTTCAAAAGTATAATTGGGTGTTGAGTGTGACAGACACTGATCCACGATCAGTTTAATGTGTGAATAAAGTCGATTTGAAGAAGTGTTATATTTAGAGGTTATTATATACAGTTTTCATATCATACCCCGTATCAGTCCGAGACCCCAATAACAGCCCTCTGGCCTTTGTTTCTGATATGGAGTATGATATGAAAACTGCCATATAGTAACCTTTTTCTCATAAACCATTACATCAAACTGTTATTGTATCTATTTGCAAGTGAATGCAATAAATGTTCACCTTGTTTGGAAGACATTGTCACGGGAAAGCTAGCTGAGCAGAAGACGCAAAAAGGGGCGTAACTATATTACAAATAGGGCTTAATATCGTCACCCTTTCAAAATGCATTGACTAGCCGGGTACCACCCGGTCTTCCAACACTGTGCCCAACTTGGGGTATAGAGGAGTAAGGGATAAGTGTATAGTCTGTATTAAACTGTGTCCAGCTTTTCAAAGAAAACTAAAATAAATAGTGTATCACTATTACCTTGTCAAGGTAGACACAATTTTATGGATAACAACTTCTTTAAGATTGTAAAAAGCGACGTTTCGGTATAGATCCTTATACCGTTGTCAAGCAAGACTGAAAGAGGGACATAGTACAGAATATAAAAAGTAGGTGGAGGATTAACAGTAGAGTATATTCTGTACTATGTCCCTCTTTCAGTCTTGCTTGACAACGGTATAAGGATCTATACCGAAACGTAGTTTTTACAGTATTAAAGAAGTTGTTATCCCTAAAATTGTGTCTACCTTGTCATCCGTCAACTTCTAAGTAATGCCTATCAAACAATTCATTATTACCTTGTATATATTTCGCGATACTTTTTAATATTTTTCACAAATTATCCTTAACAACGGAAATCCTCATATTGGCAAGTCGGTAGGCACGATATAGCTCGTTTATCACGACACTTGTCGAACGCACCGGCGTTCCCTCAGCAAACTCATTTACATGAACCTTAAATTACGTAATCCTAGATACATGTTACATCAACCCTTCGTCTCTGATCAAGCGTCGATACATATTCCCTCATAAGCAGGCACACGTTCAACGATCTTCCAAACTATAATTACAATCAGCTTTGTTCGACAATTCTGATATTACCATCTTTCCATTGTATTCTCCTGTCGTGCATACATGGTTAAGAGTTAAAACCTTTTCCCTTGGCAGCAGACATATGTTTAACCATGCTAAACAGTAACTAATATCATCTCTCATTAGGCCAGGCTGACACTAGTGGCTTACCACATACATACTGCGAGTTGGAAACTTTCTCGGCTATGGCCAGATACCATGGTGTCAAACCCACAACATCAGAGAAAATATTACTGTTATACAATAGAGCTGTGAGGGTATTTAAGTCCCTGCTTGAATAAACACACTTGCTTGAATAAACCTTGGACCCCACATCTCTCTCCTCTCTTGTTTCAAGGTAAGAACATTTAAATACTTTTTTTTGTTATTTTATGACTTAACTTCTTATTTCATTGTTATTATTGTCCAGAAAATGTGAGTGTTAATTTTGAATAAGTGAATCAGTATTGTCATAGTGTAACGTTCAATCTTATGAGCATATATATGTTTGTTCTTAACGGCTGCTTATAACATAGTATTTACGGTTTAATACTTAGGCGCTATCCAGTAATCTTTTACGTATACTGCGTCGTGGGCTCCTCTAGTAATATGTCTTTAATGTACAAAACCAATATTCCATTTTTATATTTCCACATCCACTATCATCCCCCTATCTATGTCTATGTTTAACAATGTATGTAGAGTCCAGATTTTCGTGCTTTAGCCTAGTGTACACGTAGCTTAGTCACAAAACGATTCCTAGGTTTAACATCACTACTATTTTATAGGTAGTTAGTTAATTCATACTTACGTCAGTTCGCTCAACAAATGTTATATGAGTTGATATTCTGTATTCTTATGTTTTATCACCATGTATATAAGTATTTAAATATTGTAATAGGTTTCCATCCTTACTCAGTTATAAACAGTAGAAATCCGCTAAATACATCACCGCGGTAATTTGAATACACTTGTATTCTCCCTTTATATTTCACGGTAATGTACATTCAAAGGCACACCACTGAAGTATACATATACAGTTATATACGGTACAAAATAACCTATGAGCCAAATACGTTACCGTAGTCATGTAAATACATTTATAGTCCTCTTTTATGTTTCGCGACAATTAAGAATTGACTTTCACTTTTTGTGAGTTCATTTGAGAATGAACCTTCATAGAGTGAGGGCCAAACATTGTATGAACGTCGTCGCAAGCTCCGACGTTCATACAGTTTGGCCCTCACTACTCATACAAAGTGACCGACAATTCTTATATTTGCTTATATTTGTTTAGGGGCGGTCGGGTAGCCTAGTGGTTAAAGCGTTCGCTCGTAACGCCGAAGACCCGAGTTCGATTCCCGACATTGGTACAATGTGTGAAGCCCGTTTGTGGTGTCCCCCGCCGTGATATTGCTGGAATATTGCTAAAAGTGGCGTAAAACCATACTCACTTACTCACTTATATTTGTTTATATCACAACCTCGAATGACGACGACCTTGATCTATATACACAGTTATATTTAGTACGTGTGACTTCATGTTTACACTGACTGTCGTACTACAACCAGCTGTATCGCGTAATAAAATAGTTCCTCCAAACGAGAGGTGACATGAGCTTATGAATGCTCAACTTGCTCAACAGGGACAACTTTTGTAGTTTCTGTACAACAAATGTACTCAAATAATATCCTCATTAGGTGAGAAAGGTCTGTTAAGAACTACCACAGTAAGTCAGTCAAAATGACAGCGCGTCGTAATACATTTACATCAAGTACAAGACGTCAAAATGGCCGACACGATAAACGTGACGGGAGAGATTTCGGAAGTTGTTCAGTCATCACTGATCAACTGGCCGACCATTGAAAGGTGATTAAAGATGTGTATAATAGACAATAATGTAAATTCATAGATTGTTGTAGACTCACTGTCAGTCTAGACACGGATCGAGTCGACGCTACGATAATTTGGAAGTGCATTTCTTCGTTTTGTTCATTAGGATGGGTCGTAGCGAGGAAATTCGTGAACAATCATAAGCCAAACTCTCTGACGTTTATCAATGTATACTGTAAAACTGAGTTCCAGATTAAAGGGTCTAAATGTTCGGAAAGAACGCTTATGTATGTATTCGCACTAGGGAATTCCCAGGGGTTTCCCCAGGAATGTGTAAGTAGTCCGTCAGTGTTTACGTCATTTCAAGAACACGGTCTCGTGTAAAATGCATGAATGTCAAATTGTTTCGTTCATACACTTATGAACGTCAATTTCGCGGTCATATGACCGAGCTCTCGTCCAATGGAAAAGTCGTATATCGTGTAAACATCAAAGAGAGTTTTTATTGTACATTGAAACGTGCATCGTTGGAGTACACAATTACCATACTCACTCCATTATCTGTTATCGTCTAGCTCTTTAGCTACAGGAAATGCACGTCGACAAAATAACATAGCCTGCGTGATACATTACCGTAGTCACCAAAATGATCACAAATTAAACTTTATATTCTCTTTAAAACTGAGCTTTATATTTTCTACCGTGTACCTTAGTATCTTTACTCTGAACAAACACCCGACTTGTTTTCCCTACAGTAATTGTCGAAATTATGATGTTATAAAAAAGTATGACTAAAACTACACATTACCAAATTAAATGTCACGAACACACTGCGCAGTTGATCGTATATGCCCTGCGTATGTATTTCTCATTCCATCAATTTGGTGTCAACGTTTGTCACATATTCTCACCTTAGTTACCCATCCCACACATATAATTGTCATGTAGGTTGTACATTGTCTATTACATGTCTATTAAAATGTTACAATTACTCAATTTATCTGTAAGCTAATGTTGATGGTCATTGTCGTTCTTATTCCAGTAAATGTATATCCCTTGTATAATAGCTATGTGCGTATTTACCGTACACACTCCAATATAACATACATTGCATTTATTCCTAGACTTAGAATAAAACTGTATTATGATTTATTACCATTATTATTAGCAGTGTATGTCGTTATTTGTAAACTGATAGCCATTTGTCATTACCGTTATTACTCTAGTAAATGCCATATCTCTTGTATAATGACTGTGTGTGCATTTACAATACGTACATATATTGCATTTATATCCAGAACTGTATTAGAAAATTATTATCATTATTATTATCATTGTATGTCATTATGATATATGCCTGAATTATAAGACACTTGCTTTAATAAACCTTGGACCTCACAGCTTTATCCTCTCTTGTTTTTTAGGCCATTCCCAATAGCTTATTCCCCCATATCGAGGCCTGACAGTAACTTGATCTGGGTCAAAGCTGACTTATTATGAAGAAAAGAAGAAAATTAATTCATCACCGTGACACGTATTATATACATATTATATATTATGTCTATTTATTAAAGATACTACTATATTACCATTGCTAACGGACAGGTCAACGTCTTGTACATCGATTATGCTCTAGGTGGGCAAAAATAAAGTCCTATTCCAGTTTCTATGCTTACTGTATGTTTAAGTATAGTATATAGACATGCATATTTTACTCTGTTTGTTTTAGTTTTCTGTAACAATCCAAAATCCCTTAATCAAATACTATACTGTAATCCTCTAGAACCAAAGTTCACAGTAGGGGTAGGCCGACTTGCTATCTCAGCCTGGCAGGGTGTGTGACACGGGTCTGGTTATCACATAGCCCATCACCGCCTTTATAGCTCTATGGCACCTGCACAATCCCTCCTATCATTGATAGGTACAGTGTATATTACTATATGACACGACTTATTACATCACGACCTGTCAGTTTAATGGAGGGGGAAGGCCAAAAGGGATGCAGCTGATCTAGTAAGTTACAAGTTTCTAGTTATATAAATAACGAATGTTAATAAATGTTACATCATAGGAGTGTATGCATGTATACGTTAATGCACACGAGAAGTATGGGCGAAGCTGTGTAGCGATGTTTGATAAGAGAACTGGAGGACGATTTAAACCATTTTCAAAAGAATATATTGCTATCTCTACTTCATGACTTTATATCGTCAGTCTTGTAACGCAAAACATTGGGTCTTTCGAACAGGATGGGTCATGTGACAGTGAATGAATCGCTTTTACCCAATACCCATTTGGTAAACCTTGAAACACAACACGAACATATTTCTGATCATGATCAGAAGTATATTTTGACAATAACCAGGTCACCAAACCCTTTTTAACCTCAATTGGGAGAAGTCTTGTTTCCAGCCTCTGTGAGTGAGTGAGTGAGTATGGTTTTACGCCGCTTTTAGCAATATTCCAGCAATATCACGCCGGGGGACACCAGAAATGGGCTTCACACATTGTACCCGTGTCGAGAATCGAACCCGGGTTTTCGGCATGACGAGCGAACGCTTTAACCACTAGGCTATCCGACCGCCCCCCAGCCTCTGTGACATATCTAAGCCAGAAAAGTTAACTCTTCCGTTAAAATCCGGAACATCATGCCATTCAAAGAACTAAAACCCGGTAGGCCCTGACAAAGTCGTTCACACTGTATATATAAAATGAAAATATATTAGGAACAAAGAAGTAAACGTTTACACAGCGTAACATAATAACAAGAGTAAACAATTAAAGCATGTTCGCATTTATTTCGAGCAGTCATAATTGGTTAATGAATGTGTGACCCTAATTAGCCCCACATGTGTCTGAGAACCGAGACATTGAGGTAATACTACCCTTTACTTATCAAGGCAATAACGCCCCTTGTATTTGGAGCTGAATGCACAACAGGCAACAACACAGGCGACGACGCTCTCAAGGTAGGTTGAACTCAAAGCAAAGAATGCATTAATATTATGGCAAACAAAAAAGTATTCTTGTAATAATTGAGCACAATTACCAAATATGCCATGTACATAAATAGTCAACCATTCCTTTCAAGCACCGGTAGTGCGGGTTGAATGATTGATTTATGCTGCAAACACAGCAGAACATCTCGAATGCAAGTCGAAATGAAATAGTGATTACCAAATACACATTAGAGATTGTTTTAACATTATATAACATGTGTACACATATAAAATATCCTTTCACTGGAAACGTTTATAAAATGTATAGATAACTTATAAACTTACGAAGCCAGAAAACGGAGGAACAAACATAGGAACGGGCGGACGAACTAAAAGAACAAATCTGATGAACACAGATCGACCACGGTTGCACTTAGATCATGTTACTTTTAGACACAGATTATTTTTTTATGCTGAGGAAAACTGTACAAAATAATAATTAAGGAACCTTTCACAGATTTGACTGCAGCAACGATAGCAATGAAACTAAACTTTGCAGTTTGTTCCCGTCAAAAGTTATATTGGTTTCTGTGGCATTCTTTTAGAACATTCTGTATTACGGATGATACACGACCATCTAATGAACTGTGTCAGGAAGTGACTGTGATGTGAGGCCTAACATGCATGTAAGAACGTTTGTCGTTTTCTGATGAAAACTGTCTCAAACAATATTGCATGTGATTCATCTCTTTCAACCTTTCAATGGAATGAATATTTAGATTCTGATAACTTACATTTCAGGCCTCAATTAGGAATGCTGTGTTAGAAACGCTTTGGCATAAGTGTGTGTGTCCTGTAAACATAAACTTTCCTGTGGTGAATGACAAAAAGGAGATCAGTTGGTCAGGTTCTGTGCCTTAGCTGATTATGTGTCATCGTGTGTGTAGTCACACTTTTTGCGTTTAATAGCAATTTAGGCTGAACTGCCACTGTTTGGGACTCAAGTCTGTACGTAGGGTATGGTAGAATTACACAATATCATGATAATCAATTAACAAAGATGGCTGCAAGTGTGCTAATACATATACATGTAACCATTTGGCAGAAATGGCAAAATTGATATGTGTGTGCTTTTTTAAGAAATATCCTTCTTGCTGGCTATAAACATCGTCATTGAGGTTAGATCGCCATGGCTGCGATCAGGGTAAGGTGACTGTCGCGGTTACATGTTAACATGACAGAGCGTGAGAATCGAATTAGGTAAATCAATACATGCCACTTATCTTCATACTCCATTAGTCTGATATCTTGACTAAGGAAGAAGAAGGTAAGTAAGAACATTTTTATATAGGTATCTTGGTATAGGTATCCTGATTGGAGAAGTATATTCTAAAATATAAATAGGTACATGTAGAACTTATGTTCCAAAAACTCAATTTGCTGTGAAGAGTAAATTTATGATAGACATTGATAATACATGAATTTCAGTTAATGTTAAAACAGTTTTGTTTCTTGGCAAGATTCCAAGATTTGGGGTTGGCATAGCGTTTTCCTCTTACGATAGTGAAGTTTGGATAAAATACCCTTCCAGCCCTGTGAGGGTCCATGGATATATTTTTGTTGACGGAGGACGATCCTAACAAATAAAAGGTATTTTCACATATTATTAGATTTAGAAACCAGTACATAACGTGTTAGGATTTTTCACAGTTGGACAAACGGACCTGTTTCCTTACTCCATATTCCTTGTTGGTGGTGAGGTATGAAAATAGTATAATTGCATATTATTTTCAAAGTTTCTTCCAACACTTTGTGCCGTAACAATGTGTATTATTTTAAAGTCGTTCAATTCCTCATCCGCTCATACCTATTGCAAATCTGATAGTTATACATCTCTTTCATTAGGAAACAGCACATTAACATTATGTTCTAGATAAAATTCCTTAACTTGATTATAACACTCCATTATTTAACATTAAACAACCAATTATATAAACAACTTCAACAGGTTTGATTTTGTATTATTCCAAACTCCTCATTAACTTGAACAGTGGACTGTTACATAAACAGATAAAGCTAATTCCGCGAATCTAAGCAAGCATATTAAACCCGCACTAAAACCACTATCCATGGAAACTCTATCCATCTAGATTTGACGCCAACTTTTGGAATATTGGTTACAACATATTATGTGTTTTTTAACATGAACTCAACGATAAGTCAGTGAGTGTAACACTGTAGTCAGCAATATTCGAGCTATATCACTGTCGCGTGTAAAAAAATCGGTTCTGGTCCAGTGGTTGATATTATGAGCATCCTCAGGATACGATGTTGTTGTTGTATGTTGCTTAACGCCGCACACAGCAATATTCCAGCTATATGACGGCGGTCTGTACATAATCGAGTCTGGACCAGACAATCCAGTGATTGACATCATGAGCATCGATCCACGCAATTGGGATCGGTGACATGCATCAATCAAGTCAGCGAACCTGACCACCCGATCCCGCTAGTCGCCTTTTACGACAAGCATAGTAGAATAAATGTTCCATGGTGCCAATTCTAAGGCATAGAGAAAAACAAGACCTGTACGTTCCATTTAAATTCAACGTATTCATTTTTATATAGATGTGTTACTGAAGTTATGGTTTTTTTTCAGTTCACTTTCAAAATGAACAACACTAACTTCAACGGTACCTCGAATTTTACAGGATCAACACGCCGCAAATATGATTTATCCGCTCTCAACACCGCCCTTGCTGTCAGCGAGGCAGTGCTTATACCAGTTATAATCATTGGCAATCTTCTCCTCATCTTCTCAATACTCAACAATCGGACACTCAGGCAAGACTTCCGCCACCTTGCGATAGTCAGCATAGCCACAGCTGACCTTCTCGCGGGACTGATAACCTGTCCAGTTATTGCGGACATGAAAGCCAACAATCATAGACGACAACATGGATGTGCAACCTATTTGATCATATCCACCCTCGACTTCTATGTACAAAAGTTTGTGGTGACATGGGGTATAATAAGCATCAACGCGGACTATTTGCTAACATTGCATCGTGTGAAGATGCGGTTATCTCCCTTGATACGGAAATGTGCCATTGGTATTTGTTTGGCGCTGCCCTGGCTTGCTATGCTATTTGTTGTTTTACCAATCGCATATACTCATGTTGGCAGCGTATCCTTATCATATATATGTATACTAAGAATGTCTCCAGCTGCAACATTATTGGTGACGTGCTTCGCGTCTGTTGTACCGTCCCTAATAGCTGTTCTGCAAATTATTCACATGATCATATTGCACTGTTGTAATTCAAGAAGACAAATACATCCGGTCACCACCGATGCTGGGTCGAATAAGAGTCCTTGGATTTTCGTATGTGCAACTGTGGCCACGATCCTGTTGATTCTACCGGAAGAAGCAGCGCGATTGATAAGAATGAAACTGATTCATCAATTGGATATTCACGTATATGTAGCAATTGTGTATTCAATTGTTGCTCTGGCAGATGCAAAAAGTGCAGTTTTGCCTTTCATCTGGTTTATGGAGGCAGACATGCGGGCTGCAGTGCAGGAGCTGTACAACAGGTTGCCGTGGAGAAGTTCTTTTCACAGGTGTAGAGCAAGAGGTGACTTTGTTGTAGATTATAAGAACTTCTAATTATGGCAGTTGTATAATATGAAACAATCTTTATCTAGCTGCCTCAAGTGTTACAATCTTTGGTACTGATGGGTACTTAATGGGGAAATACATACATTGTCAATCTGTTCAAAGTACGTTTTTGTCTTTTCATTTAAGTGAAATGTGTTATATGGAGTTTTTTTATAAAGACTTTTTGCCACAAATATGACACATGTTATGTTACACCTTCTTCGTGTAGCACTCGTACGCTTCAGTGACTATTGAAGAAATATTGGATGGACAACTTTCCCGAAATGTACAACAGTGTATTCATATTTCACCAGCAATGCATGTGGGGTAGTATCGCCATGCGATTTTGTGTTATGTTTTAATGTTGACAGTTGTTGTTTGAAAGTGTACCAAATAGTCGAAGGGCAGTCTCGAAAAGTGTAAATTTAGTATATATTGTTGACAAGTGGGGCTGTAATATCAAAAAAGCGTTTTGGCAAAGTGTTGATCCTCTAATAATGATCGTGGCTTGTGTATATTAACTTATTTCGGGATACAATTTACATTTTAATACCATAATGTCGCTGGAATAGGTCTATCTGATGCATTTGTAAATTTGTTTGGGGTTGGCCATGTGACTGAATGGCCCTATGTTAGTCGTCAAATACAGGAGCCAAGATAACCAGCCACGTCAGCCAGAAACCAGCGATTTACATACACTCGCTCTGTGATAACTCGACTGCGTTGCATTTTGTTTAGTCAACAGTACATCGCAGGCAATGATTTTAACTGTCGGAGAGATATGCTACATTATGAATACAGTCTAGTTTATGTGATTACTAGAACTTGGTGAACGGAACGTCGCTCCCATTCTTTTCGCAAATAAACTACCGGGCAAAAGAAACTTATCACCTTGTTCAGTAGCTCTATTAAAAGAATCAAAGACAGGTGTTAACTATAAGATGATCATTTTAATAGAGGAAATCTTTTTCGATATCTGTACAAAAATGCAAAGCCACATCGATAGTGCACTTGCTAAAGGCCGAGCGAAAGAGACATGGGGTCAAAATAAGAAAAAAATACATTAACACGAGTCAAACAGAGCCACTCTAAAGGTACTCAAAAAAGTCAAATCCTGTGATACAACATGTCCTTAGTAGCGTGCACCAATGCACGCCAAAATACGTCTCCTCGTGGATGTCGTCCGTCAGCTGTCGATCACAATGATCCCAGAGATGCTCTATGGGAATCATGTCTGGAGAACATGCTGACCAAGGCAATACGTTGACGTTAACGTTGTGCGGATATTGCTGAACAAGTCTGGCGGTATGAGGTCGTGCATTGTCCTCCACGTAAGAATGGCACGACAACAGGTCGCAACACTTCATCTCTGTATCTTTGGCCAGTCAGATTCCCACGGATGATGACCGCCGCCACCAGAAGAGTTCACATCTTGGATGCAGTTATATTAGGTGCCAGTCGCTCTCCCCTACGTCGATAAACACGGACTCGGCCATCATTTCGGAACAAGTTAAAGCGTATTTCATCTGTGAACAACACCCTTTCCAAATCACGCCGCTGCCACAGACGTGCAGTTTTTGCCCACTGTAAGCTGCGTTCACGGTGAAGAGGGGTCAAGGACAATCCACGGAAAGCTCTGATACCATAAATGCGGAGTCGCTCTGATACCACCAATGCGGAGTCGCTCTGATATCACAATGCGGAGTCGCTCTGATACCACCAATGCGGAGTCGCTCTGATACCACCAATGCGGAGTCGCTCTGATACCACCAATGCGGAGTCGCTCTGATACCACCAATGCGGAGTCGCTCTGATACCACCAATGCGGGGTCGCTCTGATACCACCAATGCGGAGTCGCTCTGATACCACAATGCGGAGTCGCTCTGATACCACCAATGCGGAGTCGCTCTGATACCACCAATGCGGGGTCGCTCTGATACCACCAATGCGGAGTCGCTCTGATACCACCAATGCGGAGTCGCTCTGATACCACCTATGCGTAAGACCTTCTTCTGCTGATGGGTGTTCCAGTGCCGTTGACGGCACTGAATCCTGCAAAAAGTGACTTTCACATGTGCACAGGTTGTGTTTCGGTGAATGTTTTCTGATAACGTTCCAACTTATCACTCTGTCTTTATTTCAGATAAAACCTAATTTACAAGTGATAAGTTTCTTTTTCCCTTAAGTTTATGTAAAAGAATAATTGACGAGCAGTCCCCGCCGAGATTGTCAATAAATCTAAGAAATGAAAACAAAATCTTACAACGTAGACAGATAAGTATCCTTAAAGTTTACATTCAAACTCATGTTTATTAGGTAAATTTTAACATGTTTGGAAAGGTTTGTTCCTTGGTTGTCAGGAAGATAATTATCAAATAATTGATCAAAATGTGGCCTATGATATAATCTTCTGGTGTAACAAGCCTTTACAGTAGGACTGTCCTTTCATCTATCTTCGGATGTCCGTCTTAGACAAGGATGGGAACTCTAATTGTATTTTATGACAAAAGAATCACAATTCGTTATGAAGAGAGGAATGTAATCACTTATGCTAAAACGATTTTACTCAAAGAAACATTTGGAACCAAGTTGTTCTTTTGAAAGAGAAGTTGCTGACATATTATTAAAAACGTTTGTTTTAAAAACGTTAACGTGATGACTGTACGAGGATGAAACACGTCTTGTTAGTCTGCCCATCATCCCTGATAGAGCTCAGATGTCACATCAGTCATCCATTCGTTGACCATTCTCTCAAGGATTCTCAGAGGCACCGGACCATTCTTCAGCAGGAGAGCATGGAATGTCTTTAGGTCGAAAAGAGGACCTGAATATGACAAAGATAGAGTGCTTCTTAATCGTAAATATATTTGGCAAGTTGTGGTAGCGTACAGTGTACATATGTACACAGACCCCAACAGAAATGTACACGTATGTTCATCAGTCAAAGGATATTGCATACTCATGGAACAGCATTATTCCTTGGTGTGCTGTGTGTGGAAGATAACATTTATCCAAGTCAGAGTGATGAGATCTTATTGGTCCACGTGATGTTGATGAAATACTGTGTAACCCGGCTGGAGGGTAATACATTTCTCAGCGGGGTAGCAAGTTTCTTATACCCCGCCACGAGCACTACAGGCTGCACGTGCTTTTCTTAGAGACAGAATAAATCCTTTATACCCCGCTTCAAAGCAAAAAGCAGCACGTTTTTTTTCCGAGCCAGTGGATGTCACCTGACATAGCGCAACCTTGCAACAGCTCAATCGAGCAGCTGTTTTCTATCAATTTGGAATTTATTTAAATTATTTTACGATGTCATATTAAAACATGTCGGTAAGATAAATTCGTTGTAGCAGGATCCCGCGGGTAAATACTTCGAGTTATCCAAGGTTCGACACAATCGAAAAAAAATGAGTAAAGAAGGAATACGCAGGGGCCAAGCTTTCACATCGAGACAACCGTTAGTTCGACACATCAAAGTTCCACACGACTGTGTTTGACTGTATATTAAATATACAATACATACTTCAGTATGATCATACCAGAAGATAACTAGTATATTGGACTAAACATATTGCATTTGTGTACACAAAGAAAAGAAAAGAAAATATATCAAGGAACCAAATTGTTGCAAACTTGCAACTGTGTCGAGCATAACCACTTTTATTGTACCGAACATTCACTTCGACACTCACCAAGTCTTTGCATGGCTCTCTCCCTCAGCTGCCGGATCCTTATCTCTCCGATCTTGTATGAGCACGCCTGGCCTGGCCACGTGACGTACCGGTGAACCTCGCTTTCGATGTCGTTCCGGGAATATGCCGTATGTGCCAGCATGTACGACACCGCTTGTTCCTTGTCCCAACTGAAAAATAAAAATAAAAATTTACTTTTCCGCGCCGTGTACACTCAAAGAAACAAAGTAACTGTTCGCGTCCGTATTTATCATGCTGATAATTAAGCGCAGTGGTTCTTTGACTGAGTTGACGATAGACTCTTCGAGTTTTAAAGTGTTTGTACAAATTAATGCTGAAATAAAAGCAAATTTTGACTCAAATTATGGAGTTTACGCCTTAGTAGAGCTTTCAACCGCCTCCGTGGTTCGATACCCGGCCGCGTCATACCAAAAGACGTTAAAAGATGGTACTTGTTGTTACCCTGTCTGGCGCTCGGCATTCAAGGGCTAAAACAAGGACTTGTGTGCTCGGAGTCAGTAGACTGCGTCTGAGTCGGGTATTCATGTTAAACTGCGTCATGGTTTCCATGTGGGCTATCACTGATCGCCACTAGTCCGGACTAGTAGATAATCTTCAACGCGACGTTAATCCCCATTACACCTCGTAGAGCTTTCAATTTCTTCATGGTAGACATGTGGAGGACATGTTCCAAATTTGACGCATCAGTGACAAAAATATGTCCAATGCAATTCCATATTTTGGTTTGTACCATATATTTCTGTGTTTGTTCAGGAGAACAATTTACTAGCTTTGCACTTGTTTGTAACGGGTGACTACGGTATGGCAGGTTAAGCTCACCTTTCTTGAACATGTCGTCGCATCACTTTTTGATGAGTCATAAAAACGTAGTTATGATATGGCTCGGAATCTATGATGGACTTTTTATTTTGGGTCTTGTCGCCTTTTTACATACAAAAGTTGTTGTGTTAATTCTTTATAAGAGATCAAAAGGTATAATTCGACGCATGACAATTACTTAAACCCATTACTTGTATGACACTGTGCTTTTTGTTATTTGCCTCCGCCGTGATATTCCTGGAATATCGTTAAAAGCGGCGTAAAACCATACTCACTCGGCCTTATTTGCAAGCAAGTCATCAATCTATATCATCATAAATGTAATAATGTTCGGTTATCAATACATTTTCATGATCACAGTTTGTCTTTTTTTATCACGAGACAGTAGTTTATGTACGCGTGTGTCTTGCCAATTTTATCGAAGGAACGGTGTTGAAATTTGTTTTTGTGTCTGATCAAATTACCACTTAATAGTTCAATGGCATTATCAAAAGACATGTAGTTGAAAAGCCTCGAAAACTCGAACACCTTCTCCTTGTAAACTCGTTTAGTCTTATATATAGACAGTTTGGTTTCACTGCATATTGTATACGAGATACCACTTTTACATATTTTCGCTCTTAATGCTGTTTATTGTACGAAAGGTCCTCATGTGTTTAAGGTTGGAACCTGGTCTGGCCCTTCTATATACTTCTTTTTGTAATATTGAGTCCACTGTTCTATATACTGAATGTGCAAATTAAATGTAGCCTCAATTATATACATGTGTACCGTCTATATTCTGTAAATTCAGTTCATAGCCTTTGTTGTAATAAAGCTGTTCTATATTAATCAAATAAAGAAATCTGTCATTATTATATATTAATTGGGTTTCACGAGAATTGCATCACAGGAGAACGCATTGACAAAATGGTAACGACCCAGTTGTGGCCAATAGCTATGAGTGAGTGAGTGGCATTGGGTGGGTGTTGGCATAGGGTTGATGAGTGAGTGAGTGAGTGAGTGAGTGAGTGAGTGAGTGAGTGAGTGAGTGTGAGTGAGTGAGTGAGTGAGTGAGTGAGTGAGTGAGTGAGTTTTAACGCCGCTTTTAACATTCCAGTTATATCACGGCGTGTCAGCTTAATGTGGGAGGAAAGCCCGAAATGATGCAGGTCTTAGACCTATACCACTTCGGTGAAACCCACGAGCACGGGTATGGTGCTGACAAACCTAGAAACATAATCAGGGCGAACCGGGATTCGAACCCATAATCATAGGTTTCTGGCGTGCCCAAGGGACGCAACTCTGCACAGTGAATTGGGTGGATGCAGCCGGTGACCTGATGATTGTGCCACCATACTCTACGGCGTGGATAGTAATTGATGCTATCAACCATTTCTCTGCCTGATCTATATAGTTTTCAATTCTGTACATCATGATCAATCCTTAACATTGCGAACTGGCATACTACAGCATGTCACATATACGAATACTTGGATTAAACGGCAAATTCCTCATCACCTACTTGAAGTAGTGGAGTCCAGTGTCAACGACCATCCTGCTGGCGCGGAACATCTCCGAGCCGTACCGCCCCATTCTGTTGAACAAACATTTGAACGAAAATGTATATACTGGTTCATTAAGTGTGGTTTTCTGCACCTCAATATTCCATCCAGACTTATCAAGGAAGGGGAGTCCCAGAACGGCCCTGACACATGGCACGCTTGTGAGAAGCCGAACCCGGGACTACCCATTCAGACTTATCAAGGAAGGGGAGTCCCAGAACGGCCCTGACACATGGCACGCTTGTGAGAAGCCGAACCCGGGACTACGCATCCAGACTTATCAAGGAAGGGGAGTCCCAGAACGGCCCTGACACGTGGCACGCTTGTGAGAAGCCGAACCCGGGACTGCGAGGCTACCCAGGCCCACGTATACCATCAATCAGACTTTGTTGGTTATATAATACAATTATTAAATAAGAGTTAATTTGATAAGTATGTGTACAGAATTGCATCATTTTTCGTATTACTTCTTGAAGTGTGTATCAATTAACGGAAGTTATTATTACAAATACCATGCATACATAATTATGACTGTGTACTGGTTGGGTGGGGGTACTCACAGTTCATAGTCGTCCTTGTATAGCCCCATCTCCTCTCCAAGATACTCCGCGTACAGAGCCCATCCCTGCAATGTAACGGGAAACGTTCTACATACAGTCCAGCCTGACCACCCGATCCTGTTAGTCGCCTCTTACGACAAGCAAAGTCGCCTATTACGGCAAGCATGGGTTGCTGAAGACCTATTCTACCCCGGAATCTTCACGGGTCCAAAAAGTATGTCAGATACCTCACTAAAGGGTTCACCAGAAAGCATGTGAGTACAACAGACATTATGGCCGATGACTAAACCAAATGATTCCCTCTATTCTTCAAAAAGAATACTTTCTATACCTTCCAAGGGCGTGAATTAGTAATTGTATTGTTTAATAGACAGAGCCTGTCATTTTTTAGCAACGTTACATATAATATTTTCAAAACTTTAAATATTAATTCCATGACAAATAGAAAAAATCTAAACAATTCCTGAATTTATGTATTATGCAGTGCTTGACGTTTTTATTTAATAAACAAAGCATTATGAGCACGATGTCACACAATCAACCAAGTCACCAAGATTGACCACCCGATCCATTTAGTCGCCCCTCAAAACGAGCATAATTTTCAGGGGCCCCATTATAACCGGAATTCCAAACCAGTACTGAGGTACTTATAATTACAAAGTTTCATCAAGTTATGAAACTCTCATTGGAACCCAAGTCCAGACTGTTATTGCCTTAGAAACACTAAATCTAAATATTTATAGAAACCTGACTACCAAAAGGCCCCAGTTCAGCACTTCCTTGGTGTGTATACACAGTGTCACCAAGCTTATGAGTTATGAGCCGGAGAGGATCCCTACCCTCATTTGAACCTAAGTCCATTTTCACCGCAATACAACCCTGCCATCCCCAATAAGCACCTCAAAATGTCATATTATTTTCACCAGAAATAACCAGCAAAGTAGTACCTCAAGATAGGCTGTGTAAAAGGGGAATTTGAATGGTGCTTGCCAATAGTTGGTATCTTCCTGGAACTTCCGGAACGAAGGTAGGTCCGCAGCAAGAGCATATATTCTCTTATGAAAGAAATTACACATTTGTTAAACAAAATTTAGAATTTATTATCAGGTAAAATTATGCTTTATGATAATGATGATCATAAGTTCAGCAAATGTGTTTGTGTATTCAGTCTGTGGAAAACATATATGGTTATTATCACTATGATCTGATCTGTCAGCGTGAGTCACTACCTAACTGATCTGGTTAGTGTCAGCGTGAGTCACTACCTAACTGATCTGGTTAGTGTCAGCGTGAGTCACTACCTAACTGATCTGGTTAGTGTCAGCGTGAGTCACTACCTAACTGATCTGTTTAGTGTCAGCGCGAGTCACTATCTAACTGGTCTGGTTAGTGGCAGCGTGAGTCACTACCTAACTGATCTGGTTAGTGTCAGCGTGAGTCACTACCTAACGAATCTGGTTAGTGTCAGCGTGAGTCACTACCTAACGAATCTGGTTAGTGTCAGCGTGAGTCACTATCTAACTGATCTGTTAAGTGTCAGCGTGAGTCACTATCTAACTGATCTTGTTAGTGGCAGCGTGAGTCACTATCTAACTGATCTGGTTAGTGGCAGCGTGAGTCACTACCTAACTGACCTGGTTAGTGTCAGCGTTAGTCACTACCTAACTGATCTGGTTAGTGTCAGCGTGAGTCACTAAATGACTGATCTGGTTAGTGTCAGCGTGAGTCACTAAATGACTGATCTGGTTAGTGTCAGCGTGAGTCACTAAATGACTGATCTGGTTAGTGTCAGCGTGAGTCACTAAATGACTGATCTGGTTTGTGTCAGCGTCAGTCACTAAATGACTGATCTGGTTAGTGTCAGCGTGAGTCACTACATTACTGATCTGGTTTGTGTCAGCGTGAGTCACTAAATGACTGATCTGGTTAGTGTCAGCGTGAGTCACGAAATGACTGATCTGGTTAGTGTCAGCGTGAGTCACGAAATGACTGATCTGGTTAGGGTTAGCGTAAGTCACTACATTACCGATCTGGTTTGTGAGTGTATGAGTCACTACATTACCGATATGGTTAGTGTCAGTGTGTCAATGTGGGCTTAATATCAAAACAATATGTCAAAACATCCTAGGGACCTGTCTACATCCGAACAGCACAGTAACACACAAAGTTAGACATTAACACTCATAGTAACACAGTAACACTCACAGCAATACTCACAGTAACACTTACAGCAACACTTACAGTAACACTTACAGCAACACTTACAGTAACACTCACATTAACACTCATAGAAACACTCACATCAACACAGCAACACTTACAGCAACACAGTAACACTTACAGCAGCACAGTAACACTTACAGTAACACTGACAGCAACACTCACAGTAACATTTTCAGCAACACAGGAACACTAACACAAACACAGTAACACTAACACCGACACAGTAACACTCACAGCAACACTCACAGTAACACTTACAGCAACACAGTCACACTTACAGCAGCACAGTTACACTCACAGCATTACTCACAGTAACACTTACAGTAACATTTACACCAACACAGTAACACTCACACTAACACTTACAGCAACACAGTAACACTTACTGTAACATTTACACCAACACAGTTACACTCACAGCAAGACAGTAAAACTCACAGCAACACTCACAGCAACACCTACAGCAACACTTACTGCAACACTCACAGTAACACTTACAGCAACACAGCAACACTTACAGAAACACAGTAACACTCACAGCAACACTCACAGTAAAACTAACAGCGGCACTTACTGCAACACTCACAGTAACACTTACAGCAACATTTACAGCAACACTTACAGCAGCACAGTAACACTCACAGTAACACTTACAGCAACACATTAACACTCACAGCAACACTCACAGTAACACTCACAGCAACACTCACGGTAACACTCACAGCAACAATCACAGTAACACTCACAGTAACAATCACAGTAACACTCACAGCAACACTCACAGTAACACTTACAGCGGCACTTACTGCAACACTCACAGTAACACTTACATCAACATTTACAGCAACACTTACAGCAGCACAGTCACACTCACAGCAACATTTACACCAACACAGTAACACTTACTGCAACACTCACAGTAACACTTACAGCAACATTTACAGCAACACGTACAGCAGCACAGTAACACTCACAGCAACACTAACAATAACACTTACAGCAACATTTACATCAACACAGTAACACTCACAGCAACACTCACAGTAACACTTACAGCAACATTTACACAAACACAGTAACACTCACAGCAACACTCGCAGTAACACTTAGAGCGGCACTTACTGCAACACTCACAGTAACACTTACATCAACATTTACAGCAACACTTACAGTAGCACAGTAACACTCACAGTAACATTTACACCAACACAGTAACACTCACAGCAACACTCACAGTAACACTTACTGCAACACTCACAGTAACACTTACAGCAATATTTACACAAACACAGTAACACTCACAGCAACACTCGCAGTAACACTTACAGCGGCACTTACTGCAACACTCACAGTAACACTTACATCAACATTTACAGCAACACTTACAGTAGCACAGTCACACTCACAGCAACATTTACACCAACACAGTAACACTCACAGCAACACAGTAAAACTCACAGCAACACTTACTGCAACACTCACAGTAACACTTACAGCAACACAGTAACACTTACAGCAACACAGTAAAACTCACAGCAACACCTACAGCAACACTTACTGCAACACTCACAGTAACACTTACAGCAACATTTACAGCAACACTTAAATCAGCACAGTCACACTCACAGCAACATTTACACCAACACAGTAACACTCACAGCAACACTCACAGTAACACTTACAGCAACATTTACACCAACATACTAACACTTACAGAAGCACACATAGTAACACAGTAACACTTACATTAACGCTTACAGCAACACTTACAGCAACACAGTAACACTTACAGCAACACATTAACACTCACAGCAACACTCACAGTAACACTTACAGCAACACAATAAAACTTACCGAAACACTCATAGTAACACTTACAGCAACACTCACAGTAACACTTACAGGAACACTCACAGTAACACTTACAGCATCACAGTAACACTTACAGCAACACAGTAAAACTCACAGAAACACTCACAGCAAGACCTAGAGCAACACAGTAACACTTACAGAAACACAGTAACACTCACAGTAACACTCACAGTAACACTTACAGGAACACTCACAGTAACACTTACAGCAACACAGTAACACTTACAGCATCACATTAACACTCACAGCAACACTCACAGTAACACTTACAGCAACACAGTAACACTTACATCAACACATTAACACTCACAGCAACACTCACAGTAACACTTACAGCGGCACTTACTGCAACACTCACAGTAACACTTACATCAACATTTACAGCAACACTTACAGTAGCACAGTAACACTCACAGTAACATTTACAGGAACACTCACAGTAACACTTACAGCATCACAGTAACACTTACAGCAACACAGTAAAACTCACAGAAACACTCACAGCAAGACCTAGAGCAACACAGTAACACTTACAGAAACACAGTAACACTCATAGTAACACTCACAGTAACACTTACAGGAACACTCACAGTAACACTTACAGCAACACAGTAACACTTACAGCATCACATTAACACTCACAGCAACACTCACAGTAACACTTACAGCAACACAGTAACACTTACATCAACACATTAACACTCACAGCAACACTCACTGTAACACTCACAGCAACACTCACAGTAACACTTACAGCGGCACTTACTGCAACACTCACAGTAACACTTACATCAACATTTACAGCAACACTTACAGTAGCACAGTAACACTCACAGTAACATTTACACCAACACAGTAACACTCACAGCAACACTCACAGTAACACTTACTGCAACACTCACAGTAACACTTACAGCAATATTTACAGCAACACTTACAGTAGCACAGTCACACTCACAGCAACATTTACACCAACACAGTAACACTAACAGCAACACAGTAAAACTCACAGCAACACTTACTGCAACACTCACAGTAACACTTACAGCAACACAGTAACACTTACAGCAACACAGTAAAACTCACAGCAACACCTACAGCAACACTTACTGCAACACTCACAGTAACACTTACAGCAACATTTACAGCAACACTTAAAGCAGCACAGTCACACTCACAGCAACATTTACACCAACACAGTAACACTCACAGCAACACTCACAGTAACACTTACAGCAACATTTACACCAACATACTAACACTTACAGAAGCACACATAGTAACACAGTAACACTTACATTAACGCTTACAGCAACACTTACAGCAACACAGTAACACTTACAGCAACACATTAACACTCACAGCAACACTCACAGTAACACTTACAGCAACACAATAAAACTTACCGAAACACTCATAGTAACACTTACAGCAACACTCACAGTAACACTTACAGGAACACTCACAGTAACACTTACAGCATCACAGTAACACTTAAAGCAACACAGTAAAACTCACAGAAACACTTACAGCAAGACCTAGAGCAACACAGTAACACTTACAGAAACACAGTAACACTCACAGTAACACTCACAGTAACACTTACAGGAACACTCACAGTAACACTTACAGCAACACAGTAACACTTACAGCATAACATTAACACTCACAGCAACACTCACAGTAACACTTACAGCAACACAGTAACACTTACAGCAACACATTAACACTCACAGCAACACTCACAGTAACACTCACAGCAACACTCACAGTAACACTTACGGAACACTCACAGTAACACTTACAGCATCACAGTAACACTTACAGACACAGTAAAACTCACAGAAACACTCACAGCAACACTTACAGCAACACTTACTGCAACACTCACAGTAACACTTACAGCAACATTTACACCAACACAGTAACACTCACAGCAACACTCACAGTAACACTTACAGCAACATTTACACCAACACAGTAACACTTACAGCAGCACTCAAAGTAACACAGTAACACTTACATTAACGCTTACAGCAACACTTACAGCAACACAGTAACACTTACAGCAACACAGTAACACTTACAGCAACACATTAACACTCACAGCAACACTCACAGTAACACTTACAGGAACACAATAACACTTACAGAAACATTCATAGTAACACTTACAGCAACACAGTAACACTCAAAACAGCGCAGTAACACTCACAGTAACAAAGTAACACTTACAAAAACACATTAACACTCACAGCAACACTCACAGTAACACTTACAGCAACACAGTAACACTTACAGCAACACATTAACACTCACAGTAACACTCACAGTAACACTTACAGCAACACAGTAACACTTACAGCACCACATTCACACTCACAGCAACACTCAGAGTAACACTTACAGCAACACAATAACACTTACAGCAACACTCATAGTAACACTCACAGCAACACAGTAACACTCAAAGCAGCGCAGTAACATTCACAGCAACATAGTAACACTTACAACAACACATTAACACTCACAGCAACACTCACAGTCACACTTACAGCAACACAGCAACACTTACAGCAGCTCAGTAACACTCACAGCAACACTCACAGTAACACTAACAGCAACACAGCAACACTGACAGCAAAACAGGAACACTTACAGCAACACAGTAACACTCACAACAGCGCAGTAACACTCACAGTAACATAGTAACACTTACAGAAACACATTAACACTCACAGCAAAACTCACAGTAACATTTACAGCAACACAGTAACACTTACATCAGCACATTAACACTCACAGTAACACTCACAGTAACACTTACAGCAACACAGTAACACTAACAGCAACACAGCAACACTTACAGCAAAACAGGAACACTTACAGCAACACAGTAACTCTCACAGTAACACTTACAGTAACACAGTAACATTCACACTAACACTTACAGCAACACAGTAACACTTACAGCAACACTCATAGTAACACTCACAGCAACACAGTCACACTCAAAGCAGCGCAGTAACATTCACAGCAACATCGTAACACTTACAACAACACATTAACACTCACAGCAACACTCACAGTCACACTTACAGCAACACAGCAACACTTACAGCAGCTCAGTAACACTCACAGCAACACTCACAGTAACACTAACAGCAACACAGCAACACTGACAGCAAAACAGGAACACTTACAGCAACACAGTAACACTCACAACAGCGCAGTAACACTCACAGTAACATAGTAACACTTACAGAAACACATTAACACTCACAGCAAAACTCACAGTAACATTTACAGCAACACAGTAACACTTACATCAGCACATTAACACTCACAGTAACACTCACAGTAACACTTACAGCAACACAGTAACACTAACAGCAACACAGCAACACTTACAGCAAAACAGGAACACTTACAGCAACACAGTAACTCTCACAGTAACACTTACAGTAACACAGTAACATTCACACTAACACTTACAGCAACACAGTAACACTTACAGCAACACTCACAGCAACACCTACAGCAACACAGTAACACTTACAGAAACACAGTAACACCCACAGCAACACTCACAGTAGCACTCACAGTAACACCCACAGTAACACTCACAATAACACTCACAGCAACACAGTAACATTTACAGCAACACTCACAACAACACTCAGCAATACAGTAACATTTACAGCAACACAGTAACACTCACAGCAACACTCACAATAACACTCACAGTAACATGTATAGTAACATTTACAGCAACACAGTAACACTCACAGTAATACAGTAACACTCACAGTAAATACGAGGAGCCTACCTGTAAATGATGACCAGGGACAGTTTCGTGAAGAGACAACGCCTTCATGTCTATGGTCGCACTGTTGAAGGAAGAAAACCAGGAGAATGTTAGTAAGTAAACAATTCTCATCATCTCACCACACAATGCGGCACACGAACTAGTATGAAAACACTCTAAGTCAGACCAACCAGGGGGAATCAGAACAAAAACAACGACACAGCGAATCAATATGAAATGTACCGCACGTTAGCACACTGAAGGTATGAAATGTACCGCACGTTAGCACACTGAAGGTATGAAATGTGCCGAACGGTAGCACACTGAAGGTATGAAATGTACCGCACGTTAGCACACTGAAGGTATGAAATGTACCGCACGTTAGCACACTGAAGGTATGAAATGTACCGCACGTTAGCACACTGAAGGTGTTAGCAGTTACTGAAAGCAGAATTAACATACATGTAACATGCATATCAATATCCCTCCGGTTCTAACCAGGAATATCCTCGAGCGTTAAAAATATATATACATACAATGGTATCTCAGTGACTTGATCAATGTGAATGTGTAGCAAATATGTACACACACACAAAAATTATATATATATATGTGTGTGTGTGTGTGTGTGTGTGTGTGTGTGTGTGTGTGTGTGTGTGTGTGTGTGTGTGTGTGTGTGTGTGTGTGTGTGCTGTAGTGTAATAATGGTTTATCACTGTCGCGCGAGTGAATGTAATGTAATTGGTAAAATCATCTCAATGACACAAACAGTTATGCATAGCTAAGATGTGAATATTTGCTGGCGGCTGACGCGCAAAGGCAACGATCTACACGCGGCTTATAAACTACACTTTCAGTTGACGCTAAATAAAATTGAAATGACTCGCAGGCGATTATCTGACGGAGAAAGGTGGCGTAAAATTGGCTTGCCAATCACATGACTGCAAATTGGACATAGTCACAGTGCAGGGGGGATCCGACGGGTGACGTTCAAGGAGACGCGGATAGTCTCATTGACTATATATATGTCTCTGTGTGTGGCAGTGTTATGATGAGTGTTCACAGTTTGCTTACATCTCATTTGGATGGAAGAGATTGATGTAAAAGATTCCAGGGCGAGCGCCATCCGCTGTCCCCGCCAGATACTCTCCTCCCACCCCGTCGTTCGGCATCGGCGATGTTCTGCAATACAACAGACTACGTGTATTTGTCCTCGTGTGACACGAACATTCTGTATTGTTTCATTACAAACACACTAACTTTTTTTCATGAATTTGTTTTTCAATGTTGTGCTTACTATATTCGCCCCTACGCTAATTTTCAACCCGAACACAAGAGCAACTGCAAACTCTGTGAATATTATACTCCATAATATTCACAGAGTTTGCAGTTGTTGTTGTGTTCGGGTTGAAAATTAGCGTAGGGGCGAATATAGTAAGCACAACATTGAAAAACAAATGAAAATGATTTTACGCCGGTTTCAGCAATATTCCAACAATATCACGGCGAGACGACACCAACATTGTACCAATGTGGTGAATCGAAGCCCGGTAATTGGCGTGACGGGCCAGCGATTACAAAACTTGGCAACCTTATTGTCCCTGTCAATTTGAAAGAATATAAAACAAAATGAACTCAATATACATAGGCCGCGTCGAAGAGATTCAACATACATAAGTAATAGCTACCACTTACTACAACAGCATTGCTGAGACAACTGGTCGAAGATAGCTAATTTGTAGTCACAGCGTTCAATACTTGAATGCACTAGATGGCCTTTTAATACAGTAAACTACGGTTATAACGAACTCAATGGGACCACCAAGTTTAGTTCGTAATAACCGTAATTCGTTATAAGCATGTATACAGCATATATACAACAAATGGCCGGAATTAAAATATAAGTTCGTTATATCGGTCAGTTCGTTATAAGCGTGTTCGTCATAAACGTAGTTTACAGTATTGTTCTAACGGGGAAAACATCGTGCACCATAACAAGAGTAATAAATGAGTATGGTTCCCGACACTATTATTTCACAAAAACATTGACACTGATGTGCTGGGATTTACCTGCGAGTATCAGAACATTGCAAGCATAGATAACACGAGTTGGACTTTGGACCTCAAAATGAGAACAGCACTGTTTTTTTTACAGTAAAACCAGGACTTTCAGAGAATGGACGTGTTGATTCATTGACATGCTAGAAACTGGAATGCCGCGGAATGCTGAGGCTGGACGTTTTCGGTGTTCATCGTGACAGTCACTTTGGACACGTTACCATTAAACTGTCACCACCACAGAACCTTAAACCATATGCATTTGGTCCATCTTAGGAATCGGCTTCAGGCAGCAAGTTTCACAGCCTGAAGCATTCCGGACTTGTGACAAGCCAGTGCCATAACTGGTTACGTGAGCACAACATCCGACCTCACAGCGTCGCAGTTCTTTAGATATTGTCAACGGGATGCTCCTTTAGAATGATTTACTCAACTTCTGTGGTGACAAGATCGGGACGCTATCCCCGTTTCATTTGAGTCCAGGCTGCATTTTGACAGAAGCGAAGGTCGTTGTCGTGTTAGTCAACGGTCACGGGGACGTGATGTAATGTAATCGGGAGGCATCACTTTACACATCAAAACTCATTGGGATAAATGGAAATGCTATCGCCATGCTATCCCTTTAAGTAGGATAACGTGCGGCCTCGTGTAGCACATAAAACGCAAAACTCAAAATATCATCTCTTCCATGTTAGACATCCAAAAGAACAAAACTGGGAACAGGTGAAACGATGATTGCGCCGTCTCTGTTAACAGTCCGCAACCTTCTTCGAAACTCGATTTATATAAACTTCTATTGTGCACATATGTTCACATTCTGGCGTCAATTTCTTGCTTTTCAAACATTAATGGAGCAAAATGATATGTCTCCCAAACTCGGTTGTTTTTTGTTTTTCATTTCACATTTTCTACAAAAGGTATTAATGATTTCAGAGCAACATTTTTTCTGGTATTTTGTAATGGTAAATCGTACCTTAAGGGCAAATTAGGGATGTCTTTGAACAGTCGTGGAAGCTTTGGATATATCTCATTGTAGATAATATCGTTGTACTTCTGTAGAAGTGTTTGCTGAAAAAAAGATACACCATGTACTGTAAAAGATTGAATTCAATAGCCATCTTAACCCTGGGATATTGCACATACCAGACACTCGCTTTATTCACAGACAAGGGATTCTAAACAAAATGATCCCTCCCTAATTTTATTCACAAACAGGCATTCTGTACAAACTGACCCCTCCCTCGGTTTATTCACAGACACGGTATTCTGTACACACTGGCCCCTCCCTCGGTTAATTCACAGAGACGGCATTCTGTACTCAATGACCCCTCCCTCGGTTTATTCACAGACACGACATTCTGTACACACTGACCCCTCCCTCGGTTTATTCAGAGACACAGTATTCTGTACACACTGGCCCCTCCCTCGGTTAATTCACAGACACGACATTCTGTACTCACTGACCCCTCGGTCGGTTTATTCACTGCATTCTCTACACACTGACCCCTCACTTTATTCAGAGACACGGCATTATGTACACACTGTCCTCTCCCTCGGTTAATTCACAGACACGACATTCTGTACTCACTGACCCCTCCCTCGGTTTATTCAGAGACACGGCATTATGTACTCACTGACCCCTACCTCGGTTAATTTACAGACACGGCATTCTGTACTCACTGACCCCTCCCTCGGTTTATTCACAGACACGGCATTATGTACTCACTGACCCCTCCCTCGGTTAATTTACAGACACGGCATTCTGTACTCACTGGCCCCTCCCTCGGTTTATTCAGAGACACGGCATTCTGAACACATTGACCCCTCCCTCGGTTTATTCACAGACACGGCATTCTGTACTCACTGACCCCTCCCTCGGTTAAATCACAGACACGGCATTCTGTACTCACTGACCCCTCCCTCGGTTAAATCACAGACACGGCATTCTGAACACATTGACCCCTCCCTCGGTTTATTCACAGACACGGCATTCTGAACACATTGGCCCATCCCTCGGTTTATTCACAGACACGGCACACTGGCCCCTCCGTCGGTTTATTCACAGACACGGCATTCTGAACACATTGACCCCTCCCTCAGTTTATTCACAGACACGGCATTCTGTACACACTGGCCCCTCCCTCGGTTTGTTCACAGACACGGCATTCGGTACACACTGAGCCCCCACTCGGTTTATTCAGAGACACGGCATTCTGTACATACTGAGCCCTCACTCGGTTTATTCACTGACACGGCATTAATTACACACTGGCCCCTCCCTCGGTTTATTCACAGACACGGCATTAATTACACACTGGCCCCTCCGTCTGTTTATTCACAGACACGGCATTCTGTACACACCCACCCCTCCCTCGGTTTATTCACAGACACGACATTCTGTACACACTGACCCCTCCCTCGGTTTATTCAGAGACACGGCATTCTGTACACACTGACCCCTCCCTCGATTTATTCAGAGACACGGCATTAATTACACACTGACCCCTCCCTCGGTTTCTTCACAGACACGACATTCTGTACACACTGACCCCTCCCTCGGTTTATTCACAGACACGACATTCTTCACACACTGACCCCTCCCTCAGTTTATTCAGACACACGGCATTCTGTACACACTGACCCCTCCCTCGGTTTATTCAGAGACACGGCATTAATTACACACTCACAGTTTCTTCACAGACACGACATTCTGTACACACTGACCCCTCCCTCGGTTTATTCAGAGACACGGCATTCTGTACACACTGACCCCTCCCTCGGTTTATTCAGAGACACGGCATTCTGTACACACTGACCCCTCCCTCAGTTTCTTCACAGACATGACATTCTGTACACACTGACCCCTCCCTCAGTTTATTCAGAGACACGGCATTCTGTACATACTGACCCCTCCCTCGGTTTATTCACAGACACGGATTAATTACACACTGACCCCTCCCTCAGTTTCTTCACAGACACGACATTCTGTACACACTGACCCCTCCCTCGGTTTATTCACAGACACGACATTCTGTACACACTGACCCCTCCCTCGGTTTATTCAGAGACACGGCATTCTGTACACACTGACCCCTCCCTCAGTTTATTCAGAGACACGGCATTAATTACACACTGACCCCTCCCTCAGTTTCTTCACAGACACGACATTCTGTACAAACCCGACCCTCCCTCGGTTTATTCAGAGACACGGCATTCTGTACACACTGACCCCTCCCTCGGTTTATTCAGAGACACGGCATTAATTACACACTGACCCCTCCCTCAGTTTCTTCACAGACATGACATTCTGTACACACTCACCCCTCCCTCAGTTTATTCAGAGACGCGGCATTCTATACATACTGACCCCTCCCTCGGTTTATTCACAGACACGGATTAATTACACACTGACCCCTCCCTCAGTTTCTTCACAGACACGACATTCTGTACACACTGACCCCTCCCTCGGTTTATTCACAGACACGACATTCTGTACACACTGACCCCTCCCTCAGTTTATTCAGAGACACGGCATTCTGTACACACTGACCCCTCCCTCGGTTTATTCAGAGACACGGCATTAATTACACACTGACCCCTCCCTCGGTTTCTTCACAGACACGGCATTCTGTACACACTGACCCCTCCCTCGGTTTATTCACAGACACGACATTCTGTACACACTGACCCCTCCCTCGGTTTCTTCACAGACACGGCATTCTGTACACACTGACCCCTCCCTCGGTTTATTCAGAGACACGGCATTCTGTACACACTGACCCCTCCCTCGGTTTATTCAGAGACACGGCATTCTGTACACACTGACCCCTCCCTCGGTTTATTCAGAGACACGGCATTAATTACACACTGACCCCTCCCTCAGTTTCTTCACAGACACGACATTCTGTACACACCCACCCCTCCCTCGGTTTCTTCACAGACACGGCATTCTGTACACGGAGTTTGTATATACTTACCCCAGACGTGACGTGGAAGCGAGGATCAGTGCGGACCACATTGAAGAAATCAGAAATAGTTCCATTGAAGTTCATTCTGCTCATTGTCTAAAAAGATAATGTCAATATCTTCAAATGTTTACAATTCCTAACGAGTTATTGTTGATCACTGTAACTCACCTGCATGTATTTACAGTCAAAATGTAAGCAAACACAGACATTTAAATAACGTTGCTGTCAACATTGCTATTCAAACACTGAGGACTAACAACTAACACCTAACTAGAATGATTTCAACAACATATGGTGCCGAAAAAGCAGAAACATACATATCAAAGTTCAGCTCGTTCAGCCTGTCAAGTGAAGAGAAGAAAATGGTTTAAAGAGCCAAATATGCATTCTGGGAGAATTTAAGCATGGGCAAAATATATATTATTGTTGAGTAATTTCTGAGTAGTGACCATAAATATATTTTACAGTATAGCTGCTGTGGCAAGACGGACGACGGACAAACAGGCCATGACATAAGCTCACTTATCTGTCAGGCAGTAGAGCTCAAAATACCAATGTGTAGTGCAATATTGCACATGGACGTCATGTAACGTTATCACAGCAGTTTTGTATAATCGTGACAGTGTAGTTACGTTAGCACAACAGTTTGGTATTATTTTGTAGTATCGTCTTGACCGTGAAGTAACATTTTAGAACCACCCTGACATTTATCATCAAAACAGCTACATCATGACAACAGCTAAATATCAGATGTAATATCTTGGTATATTTACCGCCTCCATGGTTTAGTTGTAGGGCGTCCGCCCGGAGAGCGGAACGTCTGGGGTTCGATCTCCGGTCGTGTCACACCAAAATACATTAAAAGATGATACTTGTTGTTACCCTGCCTGGTGCTCGGCTATAAGGGGCTAAGACAAGGACTGGTCGGCTTGGAGTCAGTACACTGTGTCTGAGTATACATGGGGCATTCATGTTAAACTGCGGCATGGTATCTCAGTGGATTAGCACTATATTAGTCCGCACTAGTACAAGCAGCCACACCACCTTGCATCACGTCGCTATGGAAGTGCAGTAATCTTGGACGCGACGTTGAACCCCATTTCACCCCACCTCACCCTAAGTATATTTAACATCTTTTTGGTATCAAGACAGCAAATGAGTATCGCCATGGCCATTATTTCGCATCATGACAGCTGTGTCATACATACTTGCTCCATCTTTCTCCGTATTCTGGCCACTTCACTCAGGCCCAGTCTGTGAACATATTCCGGCGTGATGTCCAGCGATAGGTGCCAACGTAGACATGCCTTGTAATTCTCAATACCGTTGTCCCACTGACCTATACCCCAGGACGACCGAGCGTGGGGCAGATATTCCTGGAACACAGCACAGAAATAGCATTGATTATAATGAATGAATAAGTCAATGTTGTCTCACACAAACAAACACGCACGTACGCACACACATTCACACACTCACGCGCGCGTACATGCACGTTGCTATATAAGTTCAATAACGTGAAGTGAAATCGATTTGGACCCGTGAAAATCCGGGTTAGAATACGTATTCAGCAACCCATGCTTGCCATAAGCGGCGACTAACGGGATCAGGTGGCCAGGCTCGCTGATGCATGTCATCGTTTCCCAATTGCGTAGATCGATGCTCATGATGTCAATCACTGGATTGTCTGGTCCAGACCCGATTATTTACAGACAGCCGTCATATAGCTGGGCTATTGCTTGCATGCGGCGTTTAATAACAAACAAAGGGGAACGGATGGCCCAGTCGTCGAAGGCGCCGCGATTCGCTGTGCAGAGTTGCGTCCCTTGGGCACGCCAGGAACCTATGATTGTGGGTTTGAATCCCGATTCGCCCCAATTATGTTTCTAGGTTTTTCAGCACCATACCCGTGCCCGTGGGTTTCACCGAAGCGGTAAATGTCTGAGACCTGCATCACTTCGGGCTTTCCTGTCACATTAAGCTGACACGCCGTGATATCACTGGAATAATGTTAAAAGCGGCGTTAAACCCAACTCACTCAAAACTAATGACAAACAAACAAACACACAATAATTCGATTTGATAGGTTGGTAGGTAATACGGTTGACCCAGCTGCACGGTGTAATATAAATAAAAAAGGGAAAGTATAAAAAAAAAACCAGTATCCTAAAACAATAAAAAAAACATGTACCAAAATAAAAAATGTTTAAATTACCAACGATTAGAAAACGCACAATGATAATGTACATAGCGGTTAATGTAGTTCCTACACCGTACTGAGTGTGTACATTACATTTATGATATAGTTCTTCAGTGTCCGGAATGCCTCTATGACGTCATTGACAAATTGTCTTCCCTTCTCTCTGATCTCATCTCTGAAAAGGAACAATCAATGTACCCCTGAACATATTTAAATTCATAATTTATTGTATTTTGACAATGTGCTTTGATCAACGTTTACTGGAAATATATAACAGTATGTATGTCAGTGCAATGAATAATCAACCCAACACTGCATCAAAATATCACAAGGACACTAATATTGACAATTTAAATTAAATAAAACTCCAACAAATCCCATTCTGTATTCATTTGAAATCTCTGCTAAAAGCATTGTGGATTGTACGATTCCGACCATAACATGAGCATGTGTTTATGATTCACTATCAAATAGTGATGATACCAAGTTAGGGTATTCTGCCCCACCGGTGGCACCGGTCATAAACTCATGCAAAGGCAAGTCAATTGTTCACCAAAAAAAACACGGAAAACATATGACACAAGTCAAAACAGAGAATTGCATGAAAATGTCCTTTACATGTTTTACCATTAAACGTTTTTAAGAAAACTTGATGAATTTTCATTTCAACAACGATGACCACTGTACTGTTTATTAATAAAATATTTCATAGAACTATTATTATTGAATCTTTGAAAACGACGACCTTTTAACCGGCGATACACTTGACATGTCACGGAAGGGACTGTAGAAGGTTGATTGTGTCACGTCATCAACGAGCAACTTTTCTATCTGGCCAGGAACCGGCTCCTGTTGAAAGAAGGAAAATGATCATTACCATACAACTGCCTTTGTAAACAGGGTATTGAAGAACACACTGAAAAAGAGGAATTATCATTTGCAGCCTTTTTAAGATGCTTCGATGGAATGAAAAGAGATTTCCGGGAAAGTAATTTATTTTCACAATACTTCTGCTATTTAGCTATGACTTTGACACAGTTCATGGCCATATCCTCTCTTAAAGATATGTGGACATTGTTTTCTTAAAGAAATAGTATGTACGACTTGGCTGCACTGTCTTCCCAGCTGTTGTGAAAGATGTCCAGGTCATGAAATTTACTGACGGGCATGAATTTATTATTTGCGTTTTTTTCTAGCTGAGTTGTATACACTAACCATTTTAAGACTTATGTATTATTTTTATTCTTATGTTACTTTCAAACAACAAAATATAAAACATCATTTTATGTCCAATAATTGTAAAATAGCTACATACAAACAAACCAAACTAAAATATTAAAATGCCATGGAAATATCACTCTTACAGACACTAGATAACCTTCTGGCATATAACTATTATGTACTGCCTACCGGTATGTTTAAAGATATCGAAATCTGACTGAATCTTCTTACAGAATACTGGGGCACGGGTGGCCCAGTCGTCTAAGCCGCCGCGATTCGCTGTGCAGAGTTGCGTCCCTTGGGCACGCCAGAAACCAATGATTGTCGGTTCGAATCCCGGTTCGCCCGCATATGTAGAAACATATGTTTCTATGTTTGTCAGCACCATACCCGTGCCCGGGGGTTTCACCGACGTGGTGAACGTCTGAGACCTGCATCACTTCCGGCTTTCCTCCCACATTAAGCTGACGCGCCGTGATATAACTGGAATGCTGTTAAAATCGGCGTTAAACCCAACTCACTCACTCTTACACAATACAACGAAACTCGGAACAAGTTAGCGGGAAACCCAGGTTATGTCGATTACATAATGGAGAAATTATGAGAATCTGTTAGTTCAACTACCGGAATCAATAGATTCAAGTGATTTCTCCGACTTAACGACTTAATCCATGTTTTGGTTGATATATACTGAACCGCAAAAGAAACGTCACACCAAGTAACATTGCATGAAAAGTTGTCATTTAAATATCTGGGTAATATTTTTCAAAGTCTAAAATTTAACATTACCTTCTTAAAAATAAAATTTGATGATAATAAAACAAAGCAGATGACAAAAAAACCGATCGCCCAAACGCATCACGGCAACGGCGCGGAGATGCAATGGTGTCACAGCAGCTCGGTACATTGATCAAGTCTAGAGACCACACGCCACACCCCATTTGGCACGTCGCCGCAACCACGAGTTTCAGCATGATAACGCCCGTGCCCGCACTGCGAGAGCAACAAGAGCCTTCCTCCAGCAGAATGACATCAGAACCATGCAGTGGCCTGCCCTCAGTTCCGATTAAAATCCCATTGAGCACCTGTGGGACGAGATTCAAAGACGGCTGATTGACGTCCACCAAGGCCGACAGCTGTAGCTGAACTGCGTCGGGCGTTCCTCAGAGTTTGGGTTCAAGTGCCTATGGCCTTCATCAACCGCCTCATCCATTCCATGTATCGACGTTTCACGGCAGTCATCAATGCACATGGCGGACACACTAGAAACTGACTTGTGATGCCATTTTCTCAGAGACTAGTATTTCACTTTAAGAACATTTGCCACTTCAATTTCAACCTTGATGATCAGTTTTGCCAAGTTTCATCTTCTTAATATGTCTCAAAGTGTGTTTACAGCGTTTGTCTAATATGGTTTCTCATATATCTATCCATGGTGACGTTTCTTTTGCGGTTCAGTATATAATAGCTCTATACCTTTGGATGAAGACCTATAGTTGCGTCAGTTTTACTTGTTAAAATGAACGTTCATAATGACAAGTAAAATCCTGGCTCACATTGAACTACAACAACAATAGTGTGACGTCATCATAAACGCTTAAAGAATAGGGACGTTCATGTATGATACATGGCATTGATTCATTTATCCGGAAACTCGTTCTTCAGGGCGATTTCACTGAGGCGAACGAGCTATTCTCTGGAAAGGACATTGTCCGGGAGTTGTGTGACTACCTACCACGGATACTCTGTGTAGTGTGTGCTGACGGCGTACTGCTTCACTGAAGAGATATCTGAATTCAGCAAGCTGAAAGTAGACAAGACACGTCACAACTCGGAACCTGCAAACTCAATTTTGCTTTTTCAACGCTGCACTCAGCAATATTCCAACTATATGAAGGCGGTCTGTAGACAAATCTGGACCAGATAATCTGGTAATTGACATCATGAGCATCGATCAACGCAACTGGGATACGATGACATCCATCAACCAAGTCAGCGAGTCTGACCACCCGATCCCGTAATCGCCTCTTACGACAAGCATGGGTTGCTGAAGATTCTAATCCGGATCTTTACTGGCCTTCTTGAAACTGTCGAATGGAATATGGTGATGTGTATATATCTTGGTGAATTACTGAAGATGTGACATTGCTAGTGACTGCTGAAGGTCGTGTAGTGTTGCGGTAATGTGTACATCCAAGATGCGTTAAGACACTGTCTTTTTCGAATATAGTACATGGTCGTCACTCTGCTGGTCACTTTATATGGTCGTGTCCTAGTGCGATGCTGCCGGGAATAATTAGAGCCACAAAGAAAAGCAATATGTGTTTAGGGCTGATTAGCTGCTACACGCCTCGTGTTCTATTGTTTTGATAATTGGTGATTTATTATGTAGTTACACACATTTTTGTCATTTTCCTTCAAAATGAATTTGAGTGAAATTACAACAACCTACTAACAATTATTAAATATGGATCAGCCGTCCGTCGTGAGATAATGGCCCAAGCAATAAGTTATAGACTATTAACATCAAATCACTCACACAAATAAAATTGCTCGTATCAGCTTGATGATGTATTCGCCATGCTAAGGCTCCGTCCAAACAAGACATGATTCAACACCCACGCAACGCTCTCTAAAACTGGTAGTCTCTTGCGTCGCTTATCCCATTTACGACATGTAATCTAATATTCAAACTTTCAAGACGCCGAGCAAATACAGGTTTGAAGAGAATAATGACGAACAGGACCGCTAAGCAGATGATGTTCTCCGTCAGCTGATGCTCTGCCAGTACTTGCTGACATGATAGGACCTGAAATGCATTCTGATCAATTTCACTTCCTCGCGAGGGGAAGGGAGAAAGACCCAGGGACATCCGTGATCAGATGACTTAGTTACATTAGGGAATATAGCGTCTTTCCGTGATTTGTTTGTCAAGTGGTCACGCTTTGGTCCATGTGGTATTGACATTTGATAACTGTGGTACAACAGCACCCTGCATCATGGGATAGGGGGAGGACTAGTCAAACCATAGCAGATATTTAGTCATGTTTGTTTGTTGTTTAAAGCCGCACACAGCAATATTCTAGCTATATGCTTGCTCCTGTAGATCATCGAGTCTGGATTAGACAATCTAGGATCGATAGTATAAGCAACGATCCACGCCTTGGGGGTACTATGGCACGCTATGAGCCTAGCAACCGAGGCTGACAACCCGATCCAATAAGTCGTCTCTTACGACCAACGTAGGTTGCTGGAGACCTATAGACCTATACTACCCGGGATCTTTAGGGGGGGGGGGGGGGGGGGGGGGTATTTAAAGTTATCATACTAGTATATAGAATTGATGACGTCGGGATCGGCATTGATCATGGTCGTCGTCGACCTTGTCTACATCATCTCCGTCCATAACAACTTCATCATCGTCTTTATCATAAACATCATAATCGTCGTCCTTAACATCAGCAGCAGCAGCAGCAGCAGCAGCAGCATCGTCGTCGTCCTTATCACCACACCATCATCGTCTTCCTGATTATCATCAGTGCCGTTGTCACCGTCATTATTGTTGCAAATAATAAATTCTCAAACTCTCTTGTACAATTCGTACATCTGAAATTTTCCATTTACATAGTGCACATTATGTTTAGACTTTGGTCTCGACAATATATGTACTCTGGCTCACTGCAGTATTGTCAATATACTCCTTCACACTCCCCATATGTCACTACCAAAATGCGACCTACGAAGAATGTTAAAATATAAGAGATACGTTGCGTGACTGGAAATATATGTATCATGTCTTTTTGTGCATTTTATTTATATCGGCCACAAACATGTCCAGGTTTCGTTCCATCTGATTAAAATCAGATCTTAGTTTTTGCTACCGCTACACAAATTTGTTTAGCGATAGCGAGAACTAAGATCTGATTTTAATGAGATCGGGTTTCATTGACAACGACATAGTCTTGAGTTGCGTGCGTGATCTTACTTTGTTCAACTAATACAAAGACAAACGGGTGAAGCATAGTTACGCAAAACGTCACTTACTTGCTTTGGTAGTTTATGGAGACGTCGAAGGTAGTTTTCGTAGTCACGGTCCGTTTTAAAGGGCAGAGTCTCGAGGAAGTGAGCAGGGTTGGTTTGCAGTCCTTCCAGGAAGTTGATTGGGTTCAGCGTCTCGTAGCTGGAATTATACCGCAGCTGGAATTATACCGTAGCTGAAATTATTCCGTAGCTGGAATTTCACCGCTGCTGGAATTATACCGTAGCTGGAATTATACCGTAGCTGTAATTATATCGCAGCTGGAATTATACCGCAGCTGGAATTATACCGTAGCTGGAATTATACTGCAGCTGGAATTATACCGTAGCTGGAATTATATCGCAGCTGGAATTATACCGCAGCTGGAATTATACCGTAGCTGGAATTATACTGCAGCTGGAATTATACCGTAGCTGGAATTTCACCGCTGCTGGAATTATACCGCAGCTAGAATTATACCGTAGCTGGAATTATACCGTAGCTGGAATTATATCGCAGCTGGAATTATACCGCAGCTAGAATTATACCGCAGCTGGAATGATACCGTAGCTGGAATTATATCGCAATGTGATATCATTGTTCCATGCATACTTGTTCGTGATTATGCGAAATGACAAATATTCAGATTGTTTTGTATTGAGTTATATAATGGAATGATGGAATGTTGAAACTGTTGGTTTGACCATGTAGGGTATGAATCATAGAAACGTATGCGCTACTGACAATCTCCACGAGAACCCGTCCAAATACGTCTGAAGATGGTCACTGAGGATCTGGTAGTCCAACTGCTCTGCCTTGTCCAGCCAGGTGAAATCGACAGCCAAAAGACGCTCCAGAAACCCTTCCACAACCATCTGCGAGAGGGACATACTCTACTCAGCCATGTTCGGATACAACGAATGACCTTTAAAATATATTCGATACAACCGTATTCGCTATCATCGAACGTGTGACGTACACTAACTAACATTTAGTCCCAGAAATAAAGTTCTCTTATTTTAAAATATATAAATCTATAAAAAAAATAAAATGAAATCCAAATGGAGCCCAGCAAAATTCTTAGTAGACTTGAGTTGGATTATTTTTTGTTCTCTAGGGTCTGGGAGACAAAGTCCGGGGTGGGGTGAAATAACGTTTTGGCATATCGCAACCGAGGCATGTTTGACTCAAGAAATAAGACAAGTGTATTCACAGTTTTAATTTGACGCAAGCCTCTCATTACAGCGGCTATATTTTAACACAGGGTCGTGGAACATATTCCCATTCGGTGAAACAGACTTTGAAGAAGAATCGATTGAGCTTCAAGTCTTTCACACAGGAGATAAGATCAAAACGACTAACCACATTATTGATGACGTCTTTGTGGTTTGGCTTGTTGTTTTGTCGCTATGACTTACGTTGAGGCGTATAATCTTCAGGGACAAACAAAGTATTGATTTTATGTCCAAACTGACTGGTGGCACAGCGACACACTTAACGTTAAAAGGCAAAGGCGTTCTGTTTTTATCTTGTTTACAAAAACACCTAGAATGTATTCTCTACTTACTACGCGTACCTTTACCATGTAAATATTGCTTTATGCCGCATCAGAAGAGTAAGTATTACAATGGACGTTCATCAAAAGTCACTTGGTACATTCTCATGCTGTTGCTTTTTTAAAGTTTAGACAACATGTCTGTCCAGCTATACATCAGACAACAGCTACACTTGCAGTTCAGCACTTGTCCACAATCGTGAAGATACATTTTCCTTATTAGGTACAGTAAACTACGCTTATAACGAACACGCTTATAACGAACTGACGGATATAACGAACTTACTTTTTTGGTCCCGACTATTTGCTGTAGTTATGCTGTATATATGCTTATAACGAACTACGGTTATAACGAACTAAAATTAGTAGTCCCTTTGAGTTCGTTATAACCGTACTTTACTGTAGTTTGTCTCTAAGCTGAACTGATGGAAGTTCAATTAAATGAGTAAATGGTATTTAAATAAACACAACTCCGCAACTACATATCGCAGCGCTTAAACATTTCCCAACGTGGAAATCTTTACAGAAATGCCAAAATCCCCGAGGACACGGGTTCCCCAAACACGACATGAATCTCAAATCGATATATCCGACTCCCTGGCCCATCATATTACCTAACTCCTAACACTGCATGCATGTTTCTGTTGCTCTGCAAAAGGAGTGATTATTCAGTGTAAGGAATCCCACTGTCATCTATTTCCCCTCGTGGCCATGTGCTTTAGACAATGTCATTTAATCCTGATTGAGGTCACAGGGTCCGCTGCAATCTAATGTGGAGAACGCATTATCTTTCGCAACACGCATTTACCCGATTCGCTGCCAGACGCTGAGGGGATGTTTACATGCATCTTGAATATTTTGTAATGAGTGGGAAACCTGTTTAGTCCTAAGCATACAATGTAATCTTTTTGTAAATGGAAGACTTGATATTGCAGTAGAGACCTTATGCCTTTCTTCAAGTCAAAAAGCAATCTTATCAGTTGGTTGTGAAAACATCATTTCAAAAACCCTTGCACTTGGCAAAGCTGGGCACAAGTATTCATAATAGAATATAATCATGCAGTTTTATCTTCTTCCCAACATTGATCAATTTTGAATTCTTATTTATATAGTGTAAAACTGTAGTAGATATTTACATATGTAGCCAAAACAAGCATGTAAAATTAGGGGATAACCTATATGTTGATTTCAGATATGTTCATGTTATCGTTAACGGAGGAGTCAAAAGGTAAAAGTATCCTACATAAGTTTCGACAATAAGCTCTTATTCTATGACGTGTGTTCCAGCAACTTTGAAAAAAAATAATGACATAGAAACATTGAAGAGGTTTCGTCAAATTTTAATTCGACTAAAATGTAATGAATACACTTTCCTTTACAGCCTTCCGAAAAGCACTTTTTGCACGTTAAGTGGCTGAGAAAAAGGAAACTAGAAGATTAAAAATTATACCAAGAATATTGCAAGGTTGAAATTCCACTAACATCCATGACTAATTTGTCATGTAGTTCCAAATGTCACGAATAATGTACAAATAAGTTTTTTTGCATCACATCACTTCGACTACTTCTTATACAAATGAAAATATGACAAACTACGATAACCCTACTGTGGGAATAATTATATTCCCTATATTGATTCAAAAATGAACACAATTACATTTTATCACCACTGGACTGTGATGCATTTAGCAAAGTCTATTAACACTAGGACATGATGAACGAAGAATTCCTAGCCAATCGGGGCAGTGTCTGGTTATATTCAGCATTAACACATCAGCCGTGCGTTGGATGGAAGCGCAGTTAGGCCGTGTCTCGAGGGAAACAACTATAGGATCATTTGTATTCAGTTCCAAATGATTGCAGAAATGGAAACGTAAACGTCTGTATTGTTTGCTTTATTTCAAAGCATTCGTAAAGACTCGCATTCCGTTTTAGTGTTGATGAAACGGACTGTGCAACCAACCTTTTCGTGCTTTGAAGATAATGACAAGGATATTTTTTATGACGATAATAAACATTTGATCAGATCTATATTTAAACAACTGAGAGAACGAGAGAGAGGAGGGGAGTGGAGTCAGAGAAAGAGAGAGAGGAGGAATGGGGAGGGACGGAGATTGATTATTAAAATGTCCTTGAATTTCCAAAAATGGATTTTTCATCAAGTTTACCATGGTAACAAATTCAGCTTTAGGGGAGATTGAAAGTTTAGTTTCATGGCTTTCGTTGTTGCAATCAAATATTGGAAAGGTTCCTTAATTGCTACAGTCAACAGTCAATATTGAGTCATAAATGCGTTTTAATAATTCGAAATAAAGACCACTATTAATTTCACTCTGATAGTAGGACAATTAATTTAGGACAGCATAGAATGGTTATACACTGTATAAGATCGACGCCTTTGCCGGAGCAAATGATGCAATAATGCGAACGTTGAAAAAGCTACCTCACATCTAGAATTAACCTTGCTGAGGAACCTATAACCTTTGGAACAAATCATCATTCAAGTTCATGAAAAAGTATCGATTTCTTAAGTTTACAAAATATATTTGACAAAGTAACAATGGCTAAAAAATACCGTCGCGGGCCATTATGGGAAAGAAAATATATCGACATTTTATGTAAATCATAACGATTGGACATGTTTACTTGGGACATAGGGGTTTTATGTTGCCCTGTTTCTCCCTGTCCCTTCGTTAGTTATTTCATAATTGAAATTGATTATAAAATATTAACGGTTTTCCGAGAACCAAAGTCAATCTCAGCTTGATTTGCTTAGCATAGCTGCTTTAGGCGGCAAATGTGTGACGTGCACATACCCTTCTGGATTCGAACACGGACACGTTATAGGAGGCCAACTTGTCGTTGTATGTTGTAATACCAACTGACGAGGCGAATTCCGGGGCTTGCTCCAGTCTCCATTGCCAGAAGTCGTCTTCAATCAATCGCAAACTTTCACCTTTCACAACTATAGAAACAGTACAACATATAATTATTGTATTTTGTTAAAAAGACATATTACTGTTATCGAACTGATTGTTTTCAAATAGATGTGTGTGGATACGTCATATACAATTAGGCACTATTTCCTAAAATTTGAGGGGGAACGGGTGGCCCAGTCGTCTAAGGCGCCGCGATTCGCTGTGCAGAGCTGCGTACCTTGGGCACGCCAGAAACCTATGATTATAGGTTCGAGTCCCGGTTCGCCCCGATTATGTTTCTAGGTTTGTCAGCACTTGGGTTTCACCGAAGTGGTAAACGTCTGAGACCTGGATCACTTCGGGCTTTCCTCCCACATTAAGCTGACACACCGTGATATAACTGGAATACTGTTAAAAGCGGCGTTAAACCCAACTCACTCACTCATAAAATGTGATTTTGTACTAGTCATATGTGCAAGACAATTAATTCATGACATGAAACTAGACAAACTGCTTCAATCAAACTAGAACATTTGAACATTAACATAAAACTGTACCATACAATTCAGATCAGAAGACTAAGACTTCCAAGTTATATCGAACAATGGAAGTGTATCAGGTTGCATATGAATGCGTAGCGAGGATTTCGAAGCGAACTTGTATTTTTATTCGTCCAGTTATAATTCCCTAACGACAGATATTGCATTGCCTAAGACCGCCTCCGTGGTCTAGTGGTAGAGCGTCTGCCCGCAAAGAGCGGAGGGCGACATACCAAAAGACGTTAAAAGGTGGTACTTGTTGCTGGCACTCGGCATTAAAAGACTAAACAACTACTGGTCGGCTCGGAGTCAGCGTACTGTGAGTGGGTATTCATATGATCAAAAAATCATTTTATGCAGCTACAGACAAAACAAAGCTATTGCAAAGACTATAGTTAATAATTGCCATCACAGAGAATCTGCTATCAAACCAAACTTGTTAAACAATTCATTTTTAATATGGCAACGAATATAATTATATCTACAAAAGTTGTTTGATCGACTAATGTGAGGCATTGCATTTGGAGAATGTCAATATTTTATTGTATTCTTATCAAAAGGACGAGCAATCATTGTTCAAGGCCTTCTTTGACTTTGAAGTGCCAGCTGTCTAATTATTGGAAAGGAATTGTTTCGGATGCAGGTATTGTCAAACATGATACACCAACATGTACATCACTAGCATCGTTTGAACAATAGTTTGAAAGGGTTGGAAAGACAAAATATACAAAATACATTCTTTTAATCTGAACATTATCCTTATTCTGACGACATGAAAAGTCTCGACTCTAAGCTGTAACAAGTATTAAATGCGAACAATGAATATCATATGGTAAATGGAGTAAAAAGATATGGGAGAGAATATCACACGATGGAGACAAAACTATGTTTCCTTCTGGCATAATTGAGTTTTTTCATAAGATGGCATGATTTGGAACAGATTCCTTTCATTGTCAGCAGTACCTTCTCATCATGTGAAGAGGCAAAAATGTGTTTCACGCTTCTGTTTGAGAAAGCTACATGCTCATTTGTACCTGTATATCGTATTTCTGAAATGGTTAATCTTTACTATGGGCTTAAAACTTCCATGCAGCATACGATCTAAAAAGTGTGCTGATCATCTGTAGAGCAGAAAATGCAATATTGGTGAACATGAACATTGAAAAATGGACAATATCTCTTGTAATATTTACATAATTATTCCTTACAAATAATGCACTGCTCTCTCATATAGCTTTGTGAAAGTGTGCATGATTCATCAGAGAAGTATATACTAGTATCTGAATGGAAACTAGTTTCACAGTTGCTTTTAATTTTAAGTGCCCCTTCTTGATGACCTTCTTTGATTCCGAACACATGTTCATGATGGAGTTGGAATGATACAATCGAGGTTCGTTTTAAATATGGAAAGGGTTTTGTGGCTTTAATTTACCAGTGAATAACTGTAAATAGGAACACAGAATGGTTTTGAATAGATTAATTCAAAAACTACACGTATAAATTGTAAACATAATAGACAGTAATATATGAATGTCTTCAAAAGAACGGGACTTCTCTAAAGTAAATCTATTTTCTTTATGCGCTCGTTAAATATTTCATTTCGTGAACAAAGAATAACGTCACGTAATAACACGACACACAGGACCGATGTTACATAACAATGTATTTGAACATATACAGACAAATGTGGCAACTAATCAATTTTTAATCACTGACATCAAATCTTGTTATGTATTCGGTATTTAATAATCACAATGTGTATGATATTGATATATTTCACGTGGAGCTATCTTAGGAATAAATAAAATTATCCCACATTGGTTTGACATAAAATAACCAGTTGATGCTGAAGGTTTTGTTGTGCATCCAAACACAAGAAACAGTGTTTCTTCAAATGGCTTTTCGTGATTCAAGTGAAGCGGTATGAAGAATAAAGGATGATACTATTAATATTACAGTGAAACTCCAAGGGATGTGCAGAGAAGACCACAGGAACCATCAACGAATACATAGACAAAAGCCATCAGGACTGCGACGAAGCACACAGGCCTGCCTTCATTAGTAATAGATGATATACTACGGAGTATTCGACCAAAGTACAAATAATCCTGTCTTGACAGATCAATAGCAGTGTTGATAATGTCTTTACGTACACACTGTCACAGCTGATGCTTGTGTTATTTCGCAATGTTGTCTAATGAGATCCAGTTGCTCATCTTCATTTACATGTAGACAACAAACGTTTGTTTAGGTAGAATATGAAACGTCGACAATGTCATTTTGCCCATTTTAATGGGTAATAAGGCATACATGTAAGTTTATTAAACAAAATTACCATACAATTACTGACACTGAGTTACAAAGTTTCTTTTCCTCAACAATTCAAGGTATATGAAGGATTCAATTCTCGTTTCAAATATGGTTGTTGGTCAGTAATAGAAATGAGAGCGTTCAATTTTTGACTTCACGGCTCGCATCCATTCCTAACTGAAGTTGCATTGTCAGTGTGTACATGATCAAGCCATATGCTAACGATGCCATCATAACTTCTTGGAAACAACAATACGTACAAGGTGTTTGTTTTTTACAAACCTCACTGTGATGAAAACCTTCATAGTCTCGTTACAGGCGTATGTCATGCGTTCTTTAATCAATTCTGTCGGTTATAACATTTCAAATATATACATGTATACATATTTAACAAGGACAAATATCAAAGGCTAAATGTTTAATTGTCGACCTACCGTTAGATGTAATCGCTGTAGTCCATAGCACCGTCAGAAACATCGCTGATAGCAGGACCATAGTCATCTGAAACAGTGCACTACACTTTCATAACAGTCAAGTATACATACGTCTCTTGTGTTATGAGTAGGGATTACAGAATATTCCATTAATGAAGAAGTGGACAGATGCGTATCCTTGGTAACCGGTTATGGAATTGTGAAATATCTGCTAATGCTGTGTGCATCTAAATTGTCGAAATTGCATCACGCAGCTAGGCAAGAATAGAGTAACATGCAACGATTACCATCTGACTAAAAGTAATGAATTAAGCACTGACATGTAAATGCTGTTACAAGGAGGATTATTTTAATATTATAAAGACATTTACGAAAAGGTGAAAAATTCTATTTACTATAGGATCATAAATGATAACTGATCTGTATAACTACCCCCAAAGATTTGAAACGAACAATAGATTCACACCAAACCTAGCATCAGTACCTAGTTGTGCAATGTTCATACATAGAGGAACAAATATTGAACAACGTTCAACGAATTGTCACCAAATTTGAAAAGAAACCATCGAAAGTATGCTTTAAAATCCATGCATATGACGTTGATAAACAGAATAAGGCACTATCTGAAAAAATACATACCTTTGAACTAGATAATATATCCGACATGCTTTGTAATCTTCAAGCACGCATCCATCTCACAATGTTACAGTTCTGTTTGCTGAAGGAATAGTAATGCCATCAACAGGCACACAGAGAATGGGCAATCAGATTTAACACAATTAGCTCAACGGTCTGGACCACACCACTCGCTGAACAATTGATTTACCAAATGTTTGTCTGGGTAAATACACACTGCGTCTTGTTACGCTAGGAAATCTCAAGATGTCTATGAGTGCTATTAACAAGACGATCCCATCAACGCGCCATCATGCCTACGAAAGCATCTGTTCCAAGTCGGCGATTAAATGGTTATAGGCAGTGGTTGTTCTTTTCAAATCCTGACGTCAAGGGATATGTAAGCTGCTTCAAGCGACTGCGTGGTCCGTTGAACAAAGGCGCCTTTAGACATACATGAATTATAGATTTGTCTGTCAGAAACTTCGCACCACTGATCATTCAGGGACAGTTCATGTGTAAAATCTCGCCCATCCCATACACAAAGTGTTTATTCATCCTCTTGGATTAAGAGGTACAGGCCATTTCATGAATAATGCACACACACTAACACTGGCCAAGCATACTCACGGATAACATACTTAAACTATACAAATTTGTCCATTGACTTTGTAGTGCAGTCAAATGTCATGTTTCCTTCCCCCTATGGTTATGTGCTTCAGATACGACAGTTTCGATTTTAAATATGTGTGTGGCATTCGTGATGACACCTAACAAAGCTACAAATAGCTCACAAGTCAGGGTGCAACATGAAACAATGACACTTGTCAGTATGACTTAATAATAACAACGTAATGTCCAGAATACTACGTAATGTCAAAAGGGAAAGAACGTTACGGGAACAAGGGACTGAACGTTGGTATTGTATGAAGTACGGTGTATCCTAATGGTATTCGTTGTGGATTGTCTGAAAAGCCTCGTTGGAGCTGAAAGCACTTAATTGACTCCATGGCCGTATTTTTATTTGAGTTTAGAACCTGAGAGGTGAATAATATATACAGGGATATCGGATCAGAAAGTACAAAGCTAAGGCATGTCTCCAGCAGTGTAACAAGTGCTATGTCACCATATGCATATGCGGTATATATAGCTATGACGGAATACGTTACTGCCAGCGTGACATGCAAGGTGTTAACCACGATAAGTACCCTGTATTAAAGGATATAGAATGTTACAACAAAATAGGATCTCCTTAGCTTGAAACTGAGTGTATGCTGCGAGGGGATTTTACCGAAAAACAGTTTGGGCTACCGCTGTGCTGAGTTTAGAGCGTAAAGGTTAAATGGGAGGCACCGGCAAATTGATCTGCGGTAATCCGTTTTGAAAGTGCGAAGTCAGTCTGATGGATTGGAGGACGGTCCGCAGACAGAAGGTGGTGAAGTGTGATAGCGGAACCATTCTTTACACTTTCATTAGAGAGTTTGGCAGCACATAAGTTGATATTTTAATTTTCACATAATCAATAACGTTTTTCTCACGAATGTAGAAATTGAAAGTATTTTTAATGCAGAATTTATAAATGTTAATGTGATGTGAACGGTTAAAGTATCATGCGTCCTTCAATGCATCCTATAAACTCCACATAAGACAAACGTTTGGGCTATTTAAACAGCTAAAAATGTACATTGTCAGTTTGTCATTAGCACTGTCACTGACAGTTTTGAACAACGTAACTAATTGTATATAGAGAGCTAATTAATTTATATATTGACTTTAAGGAACAAAAATACAAAGAATACAAGCATAAATGTAATAGTATCTTAAATAGTGTCTTCACTTCATAAGTATTGAAGAAGTAGTGCTACACCCTGGCAGTGTACACCATTGAGAATATTTTTTTACCATTCTATTTGGGCAGAAAACGAGGAAGAATTCTAAATTCGCGTTCGAATTTTTCATCCTTCTAAATAACTTTGAGTACTTGAAATTGTGGAACATCGCCAGAAATGTGGCCTTGTTGTGTGTGTTATATGCGTCCCCTATGCACTATCAGGGCCCAGTGTGGCGCTGTCAATGTCAGACACATTTACGCTGGAAGGTGTCTAGGCCGAAGATAGCATTAACTATTAATTAACAATAACCGTCGCCGCTTTGATATACTGTGAAAGGTTTCTCCCCAGTATCTTCCTCACAGAGTCTTGATCATCTGCCGTCTCGGATTTATACAAGATGGAATGACTAACTTGTACATCTTCAACCTACATATTTTGATGCGTCGACTTTCAGTAAAAAAATTGCCTATTTTACTTTTAGGATTTTCTAAGGCCTCAGCATTCGTGTCTACCAGATGGGGCGAGTGAGTTCGAGTGATTCTGTCAGATGGAGTAAGTGGATGTTCTGTCAGATGGAGCGAGGGTGAGTGGATGTTCTATCAGATTGAGTAAGTGAGATGTTCTGTCAGATGGACTGAGTGAAACGTTCTGTCAGATGGAGTGAGTGAGATGTTCTGTGAGATGGACAAAGTGAAACGTTCTGTCAGATGGAGTGAGTGAGAGGTTTTGTCATATGGTGTGGGTGAGGTGTTCTGTCAGATGGAGTGAGAGAGAGGTTCTGTCAGATGAAGTAAGTGCAAGGTTATGTGAGATGGTGTGAGTGAGTTTCTGTCAGATGGCGTGAATGAGGTTCTGTCAGATGGCGTGAGTGAGAGGTTCTGCCAGATGGTGTGAGTGAGGTGTTCTGTCAGATGGTGTGAGCGAGGTGTTCTGTCAGATGGAGTGAGAGAGAGGTTCTGTCAGATGAAGTAAGTGCAAGGTTATGTGAGATGGTGTGAGTGAGTTTCTGTCAGATGGCGTGAATGAGGTTCTGTCAGATGGCGTGAGTGAGAGGTTCTGTCAGGAGTGAGTTCGAGTGATTCTGTCAGATGGTGTGAGTGAGTTTCTGTCAGATGGCGTGAGTGAGAGGTTCTGCCAGGAGTGAGTTCGAGTGATTCTGTCAGATGGTGTGAGTGAGTTTCTGCCAGATGGCGTGAGTGAGAGGTTCTGCCAGGAGTGAGTTCGAGTGATTCTGTCAGATGGTGTGAGTGAGGTTCTGCCAGATGGTGTGAGTGAGAGGCTCTGTCAGATGGTGTGAGTGAGGTGTTCTGTCAGATGGTGTGAGCGAGGTGTTCTGTCAGATGGAGTGAGAGAGAGGTTCTGTCAGATGAAGTAAGTGCAAGGTTATGTGAGATGGTGTGAGTGAGTTTCTGTCAGATGGCGTGAATGAGGTTCTGTCAGATGGCGTGAGTGAGAGGTTCTGCCAGGAGTGAGTTCGAGTGATTCTGTCAGATGGTGTGAGTGAGGTTCTGCCAGATGGTGTGAGTGAGAGGCTCTGTCAGATGGTGTGAGTGAGGTGTTCTGTCAGATGGTGTGAGCGAGGTGTTCTGTAAGATGGAGTGAGAGAGGTTCTGTAAGATGGAGTGAGAGAGGTTCTGTCAGATGGTGTGAGTGAGGTGTTCTGTCAGATGGTGTGAGTGGATGTCCTGTTGGATGGTGTGAGAGAGGTTCTGTCAGATGAAGTAAATGCAAGGTTCTGTCGGATGGTGTGAGAAGTTATGTCAGTTGGAGTGAATTGATGCTCTGTCAGATAGAGTGAGTGAGATGTTCTGCCAGACAGGGTACGCTTTTGCGAGATGGAACGAATGACACGTGAGAACGTCTGTTAGAGGAATATCGATTTTCTCAAATGGAATGAGTATGATAAGCCAGAGAGAATCGGTTTGACGAAGCGTGTGAATGTGAGTGAGAGAAACTGTTGGATAAAATGAGTAAGTGTGAGAGGATTAACTAGCGTTGAGTATTGTTGTAGCCAGTTTACAATAAAATACAATTACAGTTTCCCTAAAAGAGGAGTTGCATGTCAGTGACCGACCATTTGATATACTAAAAAACACCGAAATTGTCTGCCATAAAAATCATTTAAAAATGACAACTTGATGAAGACGCATTATTTCTGAGGGTTAACACAACAACAATGCATACATCCAAAAGCATCCTAAAAGCACCCGGTTTCATTCAGATTTTTGCTTCTTGATTTTCCTGCAATGTTCTATTCTTGACTTTGTAATGTGAACGTAATCAATAGTTTTAATGCCAATTTAGTTCAGACAGCAGCTGCAGCATTAGGTCTCAAAGGAAAACAATGGCCATCTCTTTATCTAGTTATAGGGAGACAAGTCTAGTAAAGAAATTCATGAAATCACCTCGTGGTCGAAGACACAAGAAACATTGACGTCACTAATACGCACACATTTGTATGCAAATAATCATCGATTGCAGAATCCCATGGCGGATCGTGCTCGCAAGCTTCTACCGGAAGCGACAACCTGTCATATTTACTGTCAACCTGAAGGTAACAAGGCAAAGATTAAACACATGCTATGACAAGGATATTCTGGGGTGATGTCGAAGAAAGAGGATTCATGGTTTTATGTCGCTAATGACATTTGCCTCAGGTCCATAATCTGAAATACGAGTGTGTTGTAGAATTGGCTTGCTAAAAGGGAATTATAAATGGTAATTTGCTGCTTACGCGATGAAAATACTCGATAACATTGGATATTAAGTCAAAGAATATGCATAAGTATAATATATCATATCTGAAGTATGCCGAAGTGATACATTCAACCGCAGAACCTTTTTAGGTTACATGTTTAAATGAAGTAGGATGCTTAAAGTATATTGTAACCAGAACATTGGTAAGTAACCCAGTCCAGATTCTTAGTGAGTGAGTTAATAATATTAATGAGTGACTTTGGTCTAACGCCGCTTGGAATGGTATTTCAGTAATAACGCAGCGTGTAACATTGATTTGGGAGGAAAAGGGGAAGTGATGGGAGTCTTACACGTCTAACAATTTCTGCTACCAGGGATTAATTGTCACTGGTTGTTCACACCTTCAGTGAAAGATGAAGTATATATATTCGTCGTGGAGACATGAATGTAAACACCCCTTACTTACCCCAATATCCCAAAGAATAACAAACTACCTAAATGAACACCAAATTAAAAATCTTAAACAAAACTGCAAACAATCAAATATCTTCACCCCTAAACTTAAAATACCCAAAATAGACACAACACTAGCTAGCCAAATAAATAAACAAACCGACCCAAACATAGCTAAAACTACCACACTAGCATACATACACGAAAATTGGCCAAATTGGTGTCACATTTACACGGACGGATCCTCAGATCCGACCTCCAAACACACAGGTTTCGGAGTCCATACCACACAACCAACTAAAACCACACAATCCTTCCGACTCCCAAACAACCAATCAATATTCACGGCAGAACTAATGGGCATGGCCTCAGCCCTCCATAATCAAGAATCCAAAAACCACAAAAAAATCCTAATACTTACCGACTCCCTAAGTGGACTGCAAGCCCTCCAAAACAAAAATACCAAAAACCGACCTAAATTAATAAATCAAATACTTAAAAGCTCCAACGACCTAACTAAGGCAGGCAAACAAATAACCTTCTTGTGGATACCCGCCCACGTAGGAATATACGGT